TCATATTTTGGTCACTTAATTGCCCAAGTAATTTGAATATAAAGAATTTGATTGTACGATATCAGACACATAATTAATGACTTAATGATATGAAACAAAAAATCAAACTTCATAAGCAATAAAATAGATAAAAGCTGAAAATATTAACTAGTTTTGCCAAAAAGAATTCATTTTTTTTCAGAATCCAACCTTATACTTAGTTAGTTTTTAATTTGCATAATTAAATAATGATAAATATAATAATTACAAACAAATTTGACATCAAACTTTTGTTTTTTAATTAAAGAATCATTTTAAAAAAATGATTAAATTTTTGGCATTTTGTGAAATACCACTTGAATGTCAAAAATGAGATTAAAAAATTGCAATAATTCCAAACCTTTTTTTTCCATGTCGATTTTCGTTTTTTATGTACCATAATAATTGTTCTGCTTTGTAACGCTTGCAGAAGAACAAATTATCCAGAAAAGCAAATTTTTTATCAAATTCGCACAAATATACACTTGTTGTGTAGTTCTGCTCGAGTAATTGCTGGAGCAGTTGCTGAATCTGAATAATTACAAAATATTCTTTAAAAATTTTTTCACTCAAAATATAATTTAAGTATACGCAAAATTTTAAACAATAATTTTTCTAAATTTCTTTTCCAATTAAGTCATTCTGACTTTTATTAAGTCTTTTCATAAATAATTAAAATGAAGGAAGAAGATTTTGAGATGGATTGAAAAACTTGCAAAATTTTATTTCAAATTATTCAAAAGAAAAAAATCACTAAGATTTTATAAATATTATTAAAAAGCTCATAAAGACAGAATAAAGATTGATGGTATAAAAATTTTTGAAAAAAGAAGTGATTAATTATTGTTATTTTCATCATTTGAAACGAACAATGAGCACGAATAACCAAGTTAATAATTATAAACAATAATTTTAAAAGAAGTGTTGATTGCGATTTAAATTTCATTAAATTTATTTGCGTATTACAGCAGTAATATGCAACAGCTGAAATGAAGTGAATATTGAAGCGAAGACAATAATCATCATTATCATTAATAATAATAACAATAATGACAATAACAAAAACAATAACAAACAACAATAATAATAGTAACTATTATTATTAAGGAGAAAGTGGAATGCTGGCAAAGTGCTAGTAATGAAAAGGAGAAGAAAATTATTGCAGTAAAGGCCTTCCTGCAAAGGCCTTTCTCCACGCCTAACTGCTATGCACATAACTTGCCTTAACAATACCTGTTTTTGCTTAATTACCGGTTTGCAAGCACTTTATCATAACACGCAGTGTCCCACCGTTACTCGCTTCATTACTTACAAGAGCAATACTACTAGGAGAATTTTTGTTGTATTTATTGCACTGATTAACTAATTGACATTTTGCAAGTATCGTTGGCTGCCCATTGGTATGCCAAAACGAAAGAAGAAAAAACGAAGAGGCGAACAAACTTTTTCAATTTATTTAATTACAATAAATATTCTTCGATAATAACAAATTACTAGCAATGATAATCTGATTAACGTGCAGTGTGTCTTTTATTTATTTCAGATCAACCACTGAAATGGATAGACTTTTAGACGACAATCACAAGACAAGTAGTGCTTTTTAGATGCGTTTTAAGTTCATTCCGGGTTACTAAAAGCCTTGAACAGTTTGCAAATTCCAATCAGCGGGGCGTTATTCTTTATGGGAATGAACTTCTTTCTTCATTATCCTTTCTCAAAAATTTCAAGAAATTATTTCACAGCTGAAAAAAGTGATCAAATCGAAATGTGATATAAATCGCGAAATTGCGGCTAGTAAATTTTGAGCTTTTTGAAGCTCTACTTTGATATTTATTACTTACAAATTATAAAACAATTTGTAATAATTTAATTTTTTGTGGTGACGCTACTGACCTTATTGATTGTGATTATATTAACTGAAAAATAATAATTGTAAAAGTTATTACTGTAATGAATGATGGATAATGCAGAGAAGAATAACAAATATAACGTCTGTAACAAAGTAATAATTTTGTAAGTAATTAATAAGTACAATTATGATAACACTAATAATGACATTTAAATGAATACTATATACCCATTAGTGAAAAGCATAATTATATGAGTTGGATTAAATTTCTTTTGCAACAACAGTAGTAAGTATAAAAGTAAGTCAATAATTCAGTATTAGCTGATGAGTAATAAATCCTTGCCATACTGTAATGCTATTTCAATTGTCGTAAGTAAAATTTACGTAAAAACGAACATAAATGAAAAGCAGTTGTCATAACGAATCAAAAGTCTAAAGTAAAGCAATTTAATAATAAATCTGAAAAAAACTGCAGATCTCTTTTCACTTTTCTCATTAATGAATTAACTTCCATTTGCCTATCATCATTGGTATTTACCTTCGGTTTAACAGCAAGTAAAAGTCATAAAAAATTTGAGGCATTTGTATGCTCAAGTTTAAATTGCATGAATAAAACTAAATTACTTCAAGAAATTTTTGGGTCATGTGACTCCTGTATGGATATAAATAATGATAATAAAATAATCAGTAATGATTAGACTGATAACATTACTGAAAAAATTATTAATAATAATTTGATAACTGAACTAATGAAAATATTGATAAATTAATAATGACCTTGGAGGATAATAATACAAATTAGTAGTATTATTGTAAGTTCATGATAAAGATGACAGTGAATACTTATTATAGGGAAATAGATTAACTATACTGATAATGACTCATTCGAATATAACTCATGAATGATATAATAGAAAGGATTAAATGTAGTAAAGTGCTGTGTGAAAATTTACAGCAGTCAAATAAATATCTCATTAGTGTTAAAGGTTAATGATAATGACCGAAAAGGAAAATGTTACGGGAATAAACGGCAATGACGAAGATTAAATGATAAAGAGATAACGAAGAATAACAAGAAGTTGATATTGATGAAGGAGATTGATAACAGTGGCAATTTTGGACAACATTTTATTTGAATAGTATAAAAATCAAAAAAAAAATGGCTGGAAAGAATTCATCATTATTGTTAATAAACTCTATAGGGATGTTAATTGTTGGGATTTTTTGGAGTATTGTAATATAATAATTAAAAATACAATACATCGATTAAATAAAACAGTTATTTCCATGCGATAATGAAAGTAGATATGGTAAATGCATTATTTATTTCGATCATTATCTTGATAATGATAATGATCAACTGATATTTCTGTAGCTACTATTGCGAATGAAAGTGATAGCATTCACTGACTTTATAATTTTGAAACTGTCAAATTAAATCGTAAAATTTCTTATGTTTTGCTTTTTTTCTATACTAATGCAAAGTCAACTTATTTAACTAAAATTCTGAAGAAAAATCTAATAATTAAGTAATCGTAAATTATTAAAAAATTCAGACTTTTCATAAATATGAAAGTAGCTTTACTGATGCTTGTGGTTATTAGATAATTATTACTTAATATAACCATTTAAGTTTAAGGTGCTACAAGATTTTATTACTGCAATGATTGTGGAGAAAGTAGTAATTCGTGTCTATTTCTGGCAATAATATGCAGAAAAATATCCCCAAATTCATTTATTGTTATTTTTATAAAGGATTATCACATAATAATGTTTTCTCTTTCCGATCAAAGTATTACTGTATCAAGAATTGATTTATAAATTAATTAAGTACTAAGCTTGTTAATTTTTTTCAGTTTGTGTTCTAAATAAACTTTTTAGGATGGCAAATTTGATTATTTTTGTTTGCTTATCTAATGCTGGTGGTTATTCGATAATTAGCTTCCAAATGTCAGTATAAAGAATACAAAAACAAGCAACTATTAGAAAGTACTAATAACTTGCGTATATTTTTCCTTTGCATTTTTTGTGCTACTGACGATAATTGTTTCATTTTTAGAAATTTACTACAAAGATTGAAAATAATCAATCCAAGTCGAGTCTAAAGAGATAAATCTAAGTTTTGCATATATCGGTTAGTTTAATAATTTGATCATTTATCGCTTACATATACATATATCACTACAAGCTTAGTAATAAATTCTAGACTTATTTAACATTTAGCAAATTAAATACGATTAAAATGCAGTTGAATCAAACGAAATTTCAAGATTTTGTATCTTTATAGAAAACAAAAAACAAAAGATATGAAGGAATAAATTTAAAAAGAAAAACAAAAAGTAAAACTAGAACAATTTGGTTCTATTTTCTGATCAAGTTTGCATTCCAGAATGGAGCATAAAAGGAACTGCATTAATCTTTGCAACACAGCTCATTTTACGGTGATTAAACTAGTAGGAAAATTTATTTAAAAAGTTTTATGATATATTATTTCTGCAAAAACCAAGATGGAAAATACACAACAATATGCATTTACATCACTGTGAGATTGTAACTTGTTTTATATTCATTTGCTTGGAGAAAGTTTTGAGTAAGCAAAGTGATTTCTGTCTTACTTTCGCTCTTTTAACAATACTTTCCGTTATCTGAAAATTTATCGAAAATACTATTGAAAGATCCGATAAACACCTTAAAATATCTCTCCTCACTACTAATGTGTATTTGAGATAATTTCTGAATTCCATTCCAAATTTGATCTTCATTTCCTGCGCTTTTTAAAATGATTTAAGAAATCTTGCATATATATTTATATATTTATTTATTTTTTTATGCACTTACATACCTTCTTTATTGTTGTTCAGATGGAATTTTAAATGTTGGAGGCAAAATTGGAATTACATCCTGAAATTAACTTCGAAAATGACTAAACTGTAGCAGAATTCGTTTGCAGTTAATCAAAATTACAGCAGATCTAACCCAACTTGTTTTTCAACAAGTATTCACTGCATAACTCGTTCACAAACATAAACAGAAACATAACTTTTATTACGCATAACTTGTAAGAACTTGAGATGGAAATTAACTCGAAAATTCTTCTAATTCCAAAATTATTTTAAAAAATTGTAACACATGCTTAGATATCTTTTTTCGAAATCTGTCGTGGAGGAGTTATTGAGAATTGTTTTTCGACCTAAAAAAATCAAAATGATGTTTTCTGCGATAAATCGAAGGTGAGAATGAAAATGTTATAAAAGCAAACAATTCTTACATTTTCTTACATTAAGAATATTGAAAACAAGTAAACTTATGGTTTGCAATATTTCAAAGCAAAAATTTTCAGAGTCCTTCCTTGATCTATGAATGAAAATGAACTTTGATGCCCTGACACTACAAGTTATCTGATATGTATGAATGATAGTGATAAAAATCATGAAAATAGTAATAATGATAGAAGAAATTTTTACAAAGTTTTGGCTTTAAAAAAAATATAATTAATAAGATACTTAGTTGTTCACTTCGCTATAAAATAGATTTAATTTGTAGAAGAAAAACTGATATTTCCATAAAATATCACTTTGGAATTTTAATACAGCGACTGCATGGAAAATGTTAGAGTTATTTATGGAAAGATTTGGCACTACTTTTCAAAATAAACTTTAAATTTGCTTTTTACAAGGGCTAGGTACGGAAAAGAAGAAATAAAATCAGAAATATTTCACTAATGGAGATTCCAAAACCAATGAATAAACAAACCAAACGACCCAACGATTGCAACGTGACACAAACAGAAAAAAGGTCACGCGCTTCAAATAAGTCTACAGACTGAAAGGTCTCTTCATCCTTAACACCCAGTGAACGAACTGCAGTACAAAACTGATTGATATTTTCCATACAATTGAAATTACTCACAGGTTTCATAATTTTCTTGATTGTTTCTGGCTTAATCGCATTCATCAACCTAAAATTAGAAGTAGGCAATTACTGAAACTTGTATCAAAGAAAATAACTTTAACTCATAAAAGAAGTAATATAATTTGTATTACTGAACCTACAGAGTCAGAACTAATCATTTAGTCATTTTAAAAATAGTCTAATAATATAATATTTCAGAACAAACTATGAAGTTGAAGGAGGGAATATTTTTATCATAAGCATAAATATTTTTGAATGTATAAGTTAATAAAGCACTTGATTGACATACTTGAAAAATTATCAAGCAAATAATATTCAAATTTATTACAAATCTGAACAAACTTGCAAAGCATTTGTCCATCTCGTAATGTTTGCCGGAAATTATCGAATGATCCGTCAGTATTAATTTCTTCTTTGACAATTTCTTGTATCCACTCCAAAAGTGCTTTTGCTTCTTCTTCATTAAACTTGGAAATTTGCTAAATAATATTTGTAAAATTTTTTAAGATAATAATGACATAAAGTAGTGATAATATATTAATGCGATAAAAAGACATCAATGCTTCCCACTTATTTATTCAAATTTTTTATTGCGAGTATGAAAACTTTTCGAATGTATGAAAAAACAGGCCTTATCTCTAATAGCTCCAGCTAATCCGGCGGGACGAGGTCGAGTACTCATCCCAATAATCGTACGCGATAAAATGAACTTTAGTTTACAGTGCAATGGTATTTATACTTCATACAGAAAAAAGTAAATATTCCCTTTGTATTTACCTTTAGTCATTAACTAAACGTTGATCGTAATTCCAGAACAGCTTTTGCCTCTTTTTCCCAAAAACTTTCAAAAGCTCCTAACGAATCTATACCACATTTCCTTGCTTCCATTTCATTTGTATTGCAGTTATTTTTACAATATCGAGCAATAATCGTAAATTATGATAGCTCTAACTCTATTTGCAAAACGTTGAATACCTATCTGCAACTATGCTACTTCCCTGCATCATCAATAACTCAGTTACAGTGTATGCGGTATTCCCGATGAATCTTCCTTTTTTAATGAAAAATTCAAATCTTATAAACGAAGTCGACAAACGGACAATCAGTGATAGTAGCAATGTTGTACAGTACACACTCTACATTCTTGCACAAAGCTCACCCCATGTAAGAGAAATACCAACACCATACACCACTCAATCGCACTTTCGTCCTCACTCAAGTTTTTTACTTGACTTTCACTCAAGAACCCAGTAACAAAATTTGTTCAAGTCAATCTCAGAGACCCTTCAGATTTTGATTTCGGACACGCTCTTCTATTAATACCAGTGATTTTTTGTTTGCAACATTTTTTAAACTGAAACATCATTGCCCAATCTCTTAACTATTAAATTTATTGTTCTGACACTGTAATTAATTTTAACATGAATCTATCACTGTATTATGATCTGAAAGTGAAGTACCGGCACCCATTCGATAGCAAATGATAAAAGAGGCGGTTAGTGTGAGATGGATAACTCTCCATTTGACGTAATGGTGATATTCAGAGAAATCGAATTTACAGGAACAATGCTTCTACAATTTAAATTAATGTATTTTAATCACATGTAAGTAATAGTCACACAATTAACATTACTCAAGTATCACATCGCTCAGGAGGTAAAAAACATGAATGAATAAATTTCTGAGCCAAATAGGACATAGGTGCAAGGGCATATGCTGGGCCAGAAAAAATATCCACATCCGGTGTTGTTTCAACTCGAACATTATTTTTGATTCCTTCACAGCCAATAGTTACCAAATCTGTGAATGGTGTTTTTTTCACTACAGTGTCTCTCGAGAAAAGTTGCTTTTGAGCTTCTTGTATTATTTCTGATTTTGCTATCACTCCATAGCCCTGAAGCATTCTTTATAGAAATAAAACAAAGTTATTAAATGATAGAAACTGATTCCATCTCACTATATATATCTGGATGCTGCAAACAGCAATCTATCAGTGTAATTGAAACAAACTTTTTCGTAAGCTGCAATTATTGTAAACGATTCATCTTCTTCTATACTGATTACACTGATTGGGGGTGAATTCAACTTCTTCTGGCACAACAAAGTGCCAGAAGACGTATCGATAACAGAAACAACTGCAAAATTAAAGAACATGTGGAAAATTTACTTAACTATACATTTTCAAACGCTTCCTGTGGCTAAAACAAAGAATAAAATGCATGATTTACTGAGATGCAAACGTTACTTTCGAGAAAAAAAACAAACAAACCATTTTCATGGTATGCCACAATAAACTGTGAGCTGATTGCAAGTTTTAAATTCGGTTCACATACGATCCAAACCGAAGCAAGCGTAGATACGTTGAAGGCATAGATAAAATTTGTAGAAGATACAATTAATAGATTAGGATTACTCGATGGACCCCATTCCACTGATTTAATTTTTCCGTCACCTTGATGAACATGTACTGAACGGAAAGGTTCGTGCTGTTCTGCACTCCAGAGTACTAACACTCCATTACTGTCTTGAGTTATCTGGAAAACCCGGGCAATATAAAAAAATTTACTTTTTACTGAAACTGAATTGCATATTTAACGCAACAAACACTGTGAACTGCAGCAAAGTGTGATTGTCTTATTTTCGAAACATGCAGAACAGGAACGTCCATCCAATGAATTGAATCTCCCTTACACCACTTTCTTTCATCTCCTTCAACTCTTTCCCACTTGACCATAACTCCCTGTAAACATAAAAAATATTGTTGTTATTGTTGCTACTAGTCATCAAAGTAAATAGTATATGTGGAGTAAACAAACAGTAAGATATTTGTGAAAGTAAATAGCCATATAAACAAATGGTATTTTTCCAGAAAATGGGATAATTTGTTCTTAGACAAATGTTAGAACAACAAACTTTATTATCAATCGTGATGAACATATCATAATCCAGACATGCCCGTATAAATTTAATAACGTCGTCACAATATGATTCGTAATATTCTAGAGCTAGCGATCCTAACTTTCTATTCCGACGCCAAAATTGCAAACGATTCTTAAAAATATAATTTTCCGACTGATAATTATTATATTTCAAAAATGTTTTAGCTGAAACATTTCGAACTTGTTTCCAAGTTATTATGCATATACTTATTATGAATTGATTAGATTTTGAAATTGAAAATTTAAAGAATTTGATTTCGATGAATGCTCAAAATTCTATTCCTTTTGTCTAAAAAAGAAGGTATACTAAATATGAGCCATACGTTAGGTATATCAAAACCAATACTGCAGTCTGCGGATAACACCATTTTCCGTGAAAATGCTATCTCACATACATCTGTATAACCGTTAGTATCGGAAAATATGTTTTCTCCTTCCACTGGATTTTCTCGAGATATATCTGCCTAAAAAATAAAACATGAAAGAACACGATCTGGAATAACTAATGAAAAAAGATATTTGAAATTTCTTTGGAAACTAGAAGAATAAAATTACTGCATCAGAATTCTACAGTCAATTAAAACCTGCATTGTGAAGTAGTTTTTGAAAAAGAAAGTAAAATAACTCGTCAAAATTACAAAAATCATTCAAAAATTTTATTTTAAAATGTAAAAATGAAAGCAGTACCGTTTTAACAGTGATCATACAGTGCGGATCAATCCATTGTATGAAACCAGGACGAGCACTGTGGATAACGTAATTTTTATAAAGAGGATCATCAGTAAGTGGAAATCCCGACCTTTTAAAAGAATACAGAATAGATTCCATGGAAGAAAAAACATTAAGAGCTGAGTTTGAAATAAAGTGAACTGAATTGTCAGCTAAAACAACAGCCACGACAGAGTCATCTGCAGAAAGTTGCAGTCTCCGAATAGGGGCCTGCAATCGTGGTAGCACCTGAGGTTTAGCAATAGATTTCGAATCAGAAAGAGTAAACTTCGCCAATACGCCTTCATCACCACCAGATAGTAGATTATTAAATTTGGTAAGAGCTAAATATGGAGCCCATTTATGCCAATGCACTGAATGACTGAAAATGCCAATACCTTTTCGGCAGACATTGTTCCTATAAAAGCATTAATGCTCACTGCTGCATGAAAGCTGTTGTCAGACATAAATTACAATAGATTACAGAATTCGATTCACAGATTCAAAAAATTGAGTGGTTAAAGTTTTTTTATACCTAAAGGAGAAGAAAAACACACAAAGGATAAAGTCAAAATCTGAAGTTCAGTTTAAATAGCAATTTAAATAGCTATTTTTGTATACTTGACCTAAATATATCCAAAAATTTTCCCACCATATAAAAACTCGGCCAAAGGAAATTGCTGCCGCCACTGTATTACCACAAGCCGCAATATTTGTGAATCTTACTAATGAAAAATCCATGAATTCAGCTTTACCAGTATATTTGAAACGCTTTACTCCATTAACACCGAAAACGTAGAGATATACAAACAGTTTTTCACAGCATACAAAATAATCATCCTGAAGGTAACAGACATTACAACTAACAAGAAATACTCTTTCCATATTTATTTAAACACAAAACTATAGAAACCAGATTCTGAAATTGCTTTTGAAAAGTTACTTACCGTTACAGCAAATTCAGAAAATCCAACAACGTCATGAGGTTTAGTTTGCAGGATTTCTTGTTTTTGTAAAGTTTCTTCGCTTTCATTAATCTTTGAAATGATAAATTTTTTATCTTGATTTTTAGTTACAACCTGAAAAACGAAAATATTTGTAAATGCTTGTCAAAAAAGTCTGTCTATTGAAGTTTAGTTTTTTAAGATACCAACCAATGTTGCTTTATTACTGTTCCAAACACCAAAAGGCACACAGTTTAGCTTACGACTATGTAGAGGTAAGAACGTGCTAGCACACCAAACACATTCTATACCATCACTTGTATAAGTCGTCAACTAAAAAATAGGCAATCATGAAAACAGAAAGCACTAACATACATAGTATTTTACATGTAAAGAGTGCATTAACAATGTTTATTTGAAATGACTCGCAATGTTTACTTAAATAGACATGTTTTAAGCTTATTCTTCCAATTCATGAATTTATTTGGTATCAAACCTTATTAGAAAAAGTGAAATGAAGGCTGACAACTTTGGCACAGTGGGCAAGCAGCTGCTTACGACGACCAGTTTCTACATCCACGACAATAACATCACTGTTGGAAGCAACAAACGCTAATCTCCAAAAAAAGTTACAATTTCGATAACATACTATGAGAGACGAAAACTCACAGAAAGATGAAACAGTTTCAGAGTAAATCAAAAATAGTATTTTCGAAAAGAGAAGATTCTTGACAAAGAGAGAAATGAATTTTGGAATATATACCTGTTATCAGCAGTGAATGCTATAGGACTGTCTGCAATATCATATCCGATCCTTCGGCTTTCTTCCAAAGTATCCCAATCCATTCAGTATGTAAATGTCAATGACTGAAGCAATAAATTGATTCATATGAGGCTACCAACCTTTTGATATGTTGGCGTCTAGTTAAGAGTAATTAATTATTCATCATATAAGTAAAAATATATGTGAAAAATTTGTTAAGTGTGACATTAGAAATGATGTTTCGAAAGCAGAATAAATTACTTTAATTTGTGTAATCAGAGGATTAGCCTCATAAAAAAAAAAGAGTTTCCTTAACAGCATAGAATGTACTCAGCTTGCAGGTAAAAACTCGACCTGCATGTTTTGAAGTTATCAGGGCCGACTTGCCATTTACCAGAAGGCAGAAAGAAAAGGGACGAAAATTTTGATGAGTTGTCATACAATTTTTTTCATGTATTTGAAGTCAAAGGTTGAGGGGTTAGTGTATAGTTTAGCATTAGTACATTTTTTGACACAATCAATATTTCAGCTTGACCTTTCTTTGTAATGAAAACAAGTTTGTAATGCAAGCAGATATTACATCTGGAAATCGTGATTTCAATATTGACGTCGTAACGAAATTTTTTGAAGAGTCACTCGTAAATGACAATGACGTCAGATTGCCATCATACATTAATGCCTTCAGAGAACTTAACAAGTTGGTCAATACGTTTCTTACTTTCCGTGTTTGAAATTTTGACCTCTTATGAAATAGCGTGGAAATTAATGACATAAATATGATTTTTTCTTTACGTTCTATGTCTTAGATTTATTGTTAGTTTCAGCGGTTTTCGCTTAGCGATAAAGAATGACGTACTTGTGTATTCAGGTAATATCATGTGGTTTTTGCAAAAACTTTCTGCTTTTCAGAAATTCGAAATAAATAATAGTTTAGCTTAGAAATGAGCAGATTGACACTTCTGGTTGATTCAGAGCATTGTTGGTTGTTTAATTGAAAAATAAATCATTATTCGTACTATTGAATACACCAAATCTTGTGCTTGCATTCACTGATTTGTATATTTTTAGATTTATCGCACTACTTGGCAAGGGATTCAATTTTATTGAAAAAGATTTATTGGAAAAAGAAAAAATCCTAAATGATTTATATGTGCTGGACTCTTCTCATTATGCCACTGTCAACAGCATGATTTCGTGTGAATCTCGTTCAGCTCAGTCATCGAGAAAAGTAAAACTAATTTGACATTCATTGTCAAGTGCATATTTATTTAGTTCTAAGGGTTTAGTTCATCCTAGTTTCACATCAAGAAATTTAATAGTTTTACTCAATATATATTTTTTCATTTTAAGGGATCAAGAACACTGCTACGACTGCATAGAGCACTTTTATTTATCACTGATTTTTTGAAGAATTTGAATCAATCCCGCGAAGGAGATCAAGTACGAAGAACTGTTTTTCTTTTTTCATTTTTTTGATAATATAATAGCTTTCAGACGCAAGTCAGAAATCTTTTCGATTAATCTAAAAATATACAAATCAGTGAATGCAAGCACAAGATTTGGTGTACTCAATAGTACGAATTCATTTTCTTTGGAGGACAATTTATCGAGGAATTATAGGGTTCATTAGCTCAGTCTATTATTGATTTATTAACATTGTATGTTGTTAAAAATTATGGAAAAGCATAAAATTCTTTTAAAATGACAGAACATGTATGTAATAATCAAATTATTTCAGATCTCGGCATTATGTCAATCTAGTTATGATAATACTCTTTCAAAACACCATAGTTGGATTATCAGGCAATGTGTTCGAGTAGCAACTCGTTTCCTCGCTTCACGAGATATTTTATTGAAAGCAGTTAACGATGGGAAAATGTTCAAAAATGAACTAGAAGTTCAGCAGGCAATTACTAAGCTTGTAACCGCTGCAGAACAAGTTTATGGTCGCGTACAACAAATTTATAAGAACGAAAATATTTTGGATCTTCCGTGAAGGAGATTGCATAAATTTGCGCCGTAAATGTGCTCGAATTCACAATAATATCGCCAGTAACGTGTAACCAATTAATTAGTTTCTCACATTTTCTTCTTTTACTAATGTAATTTAATTTTATGTAGAAACCTCCTTTGAACTCTTCTGTCATATTATTCTACTAATTGCTTGCATAAATGTCCGTCACAAGTTTCTGTCCTTTATAAAGTCTTTATCTGTGGTCCTTAAAATGTTATACTTCAATTTCATTTACAGTTTACCAAACTCATAAAAACTATTGAGGAAACTAGTTTTTTGGTGGTCTTCCAAAACACTTCTAAAAGTTGTTGCTGAGCACACCACTTTGATTTACCTCTTAATATTGTCCAATCATTATCTTTTCAAATCATCAAAAAATAATGAAGGAAATTTAGCTGATAAGATATTGATAGGCTAGATGTACAGAAATACAATTTGAGTAGGTCTAGTCTGTTAATGTCCTACCAGCTTTCTAGTTTTTTTTTTTTTCAAGTAATGGAACATCGATTTTAAGAATAAACATTTGAAACGTAGGTCCTACCAATTCAACAGAAGCATATATCCGATATTTGCGTTCGAGAGACCTGTAGTAGTTGCGGTGTGTTTTAGATACACAGAATTAAGAATGATACAGTTTTAGACATAAAAAAGTAAGCTGAGCATTAACACAAAGTTTTGGAATAAGGACCTGAATTGTAGAAAATATGATATAGATTCGGCCTTAACAGTTCTGCAATAATAAATATTTGCAGTGTAAGTAATACGCATCATCATAATTGTAGTATCTAAAGTGCATCTTTTTTCGGAACTAATAACCTCCCGAAGTAATTTTTAATATTTCAAATTCTCTATGTTTATATTTCATTTCATTGATTGGATCATCTTAATAATTTTGGTAAAGGAATATACGATGGAGCGTGTAACACCAGCTGAGAGTGCATTTTTAACTGTTTGCTGCCAGGCAGACCTTCGAACGATATCTTCGATGGCTTCAGCTACTGATTTTGTGCCGTATAATTGCCGCGCCAATGAAAGTGATATATCTTCTAGAAAAAAGTCTCTAAGGTTAACAAATGTTTGAATAAATAAAAGAAGACGAAAGCTTACCAATGTCTCTTTGAACTCCATTCTTATTTAGTTTTTTCTGCAGATTCCAAAGTACGTTTAAAGGCAAGTTAAGTATTCGTTTGGAAAAGATGTAATCACTCGTATCCTAAATTTGATATCAAATCAATACGTTTGTTATATATGGTAAGTACGAAAAAGTTTTCTTTATTTGAAGAAAGTGATTTGGATTTGAGAGAAACAAATCAAAAAGAAAAAAAACAAATATGAAAATGAGAGGGAATTCTAACTTGTTCGACGATATCATTTTTCAAGGAAACATCTGTATCAGCTTTCAAAAGTGGTATATAGATCTGATTAAGCTGAGCTTTACTTCCAACAGCAATTCCTTTAATTTTATTCTTGTCTTCACCGAAAACCATTCGAAAATCACCTCGATATGAGAGTGATATTAGTTCTTCGTATAATTGTAAAAGCGTAAATTTATCGGGCAAAAATAACAGTGCCGCCTCCAAAGTTTGAAAATTTGGTTTTTATATTATTTGTATTCAGCAATATTTTTATATTTCACGGATAAGAACGAAAGCACAATGGTGAAAGAAACTATTAAAATAAAAACTTTACTTGTAATGCACTCCAACGGTTCTTTTCTATTGCGGATGATATTTTTGATGAAGGGTTGATAACATCGATAACATATTTGTGCAATCTACCAGCTACGTATAACCATCTCCATTCAGTAAGATCCAGTAAAAGATCTTCAACATCAATTACAGAATACTTCATAATTTGATCCTGGAAAAAGCACAGACTTGTTAACTGATCGGAAATCATCTTACCATACCTGTTTATGCAGCAAACCCCGCTTCATTCGACATTTCATCCACATTTCTTGAAACAAAAAGCTTATTAAATCATAAGCTGTGGTTCATTTTGAAGTAGGTATTTCAAAACTAATGTTAACCGTTGAAAAATAAATTGTTAAAGAAGTAAGCGTACATTCACACCTGATACCTTAACTGAGTATTACAATATACTCGAGCTGCATATTCCTTTTGCAGCTGCGAAATACTCTCATAACCTAAAAACCGTAATGACGAATAATGCCTTGGATTCATTTCCAGATTCTGTTGATGGAACCGACTCGAATCTCGTGTAACAACAAGTAAATCAATCATTTTGCCGAAAGTACCGTTGCTACCTTGTGGTACTGCACCGGAACCATAAGCACAAGCATATTCCACGGTATTCAGTGGTAAGATATGCAAAAGTTGCTGCAGCTTTATTACCGACAAACTTCTATAAATTTCTCGCATCACCATTACTAGTAATGCAATCTCTATATATTACTGCAGAGTCATTACAGCATGCTCACTTAAAGTCACTCGAAAAGGTTGCTGTATTGTCCTTGCTCAAATTACACCAAAACCAGTTCCTGAAAATGATCTCCGCAACATTGTTACCCGAGATTTATAACAACCAACACTTATATCTTCGTGCCAAAACCATGTACAATGGCAGCTCCTGCGGCTGCTAAGGCACCATTGCCAAACACATTAATGACCAATTCCACCATGTAATCACACTGACACTCCATATCCAAGTACCTTTTAACAATAATGCAGCTTGACTCTTACTGAATCAAAAACACAAACCAGACATCCGATGACATTCCTGAGATGTCAAATATTATCAGCTAGTATTGAATTGACATGTAAAACAGTGAAGTGATTAGATGGAAATTTATTGAAATTCAAAGATAATTGCCATACTACTCCAAATTGACTTTAAAAACAGCAGTACCAACCACAAATGAAGTACAAACCAACTAACTGGATGAAAAGTCACAAAAATGAGTTCAATTAAATACGTATATAATACTACTGAATGAATGAATATTTCAGTTACGGGACTACGATCTACATACAACATTTTACAAATCAAAATGACAAGTTCACAGATTAATAGCACGACATAAGTAAGCAAATGCTTTGTTGAAAATATAAATCATTCCCTCCATATATCAAAAAGTATTCTGATGAATAATAGAATTTGGCTAATTTAAAGCCAAAAATTATACGAACCGACTATATTATGGAGCACTACTACACTATGAGAAAATAAATGTCATATTATAGGAAAAGCAAAAACCACATCACATCGCATAAACCATGGCAAATATTCCTTGAGGATCAATACAAGAGGGGTATGAATGAGAATGTAGAGGATTGAAACCAAGATATTTGAAACAAGACACCACCTAAAATTATAGTAATTATTTCTGAATAATAAGAAAGCAAAGGAAATTCAAGTTTGAAAATATATAAATTAGATGACGGTTTTCTCTCTTCATTAGTGAAAATATACTGAACAAAACACTCGAACACCGTTTTTTGATTCCAAAAACTCTTCTTTAAACACATTTTCAAAAATATTTCCAAAAAGTCGCATCATTAAAACTTACTGTTTCATCAACAGCGTTCTTGTTTAGGCAGAGCATAACACGTTGTACTGGCAAATTTTCTTCGCAGAATTCAAGTAGTGAAACGAATGCAACCTTAGACATATTCCATGTACTCTGATCAAAAGGCAAAAATATTGCTAATGTAGTGTCGTCGACCAGATGACAACACCAGTCTGATGATACATCTGCAATATTCTATCAGCGGTCACAAACTAACAACAGTAGTTATGAAACAAGGGCAAAACAGCATTTCGTCTTTCGTCATTCTATATGCTTAATACTATAAAAAGCTCACAACTTACCTAAAGTAAAGTAATAGATATCTTGTTTAACCGATACTAATGCACTTTTAAACTTTCTAGAATAATAAAGAATCTGAAAAACCGAAAATTGATTGCATTTGAAAATCAAAATGCCATAGAGAGTTACCGTTTACAAATGTTTCCAGCGACCGAAGATGTTCGTTAGTTAAAAGACTAATTTTAGGGACGTCAGGAATAACATTCGAGGCCCAAGTGCCCACGTTTACAACTGAAAAGACAAAAGGTGAAGATAACATGGTTTACAAACCTAACTACATATTTTTGTTTGTACCTTATCGAAACCACATTCGACTTTTATCAATCGAAATTTCCAAAAATTCCTGTACCAAAAAGAGAACTTCCCGATGAAATCAAAACTGTGAAGTAGAGAGAATAGAAATGAAAATACCCCAGCAAATTTTGACTAATCTTATGAATACATAAACGGAGAAGCACGTCTTTTAAATAAGATTTTAATGGACATCATTTGCAAAGTGGCGTATTAGATTAAAATTAAATGGCGTATGTCACGTTACAATTGCGCTAATCCACGATCTGCATAGAGTGCTAGCAATTCAGAAGAGATGAAATGAATACCGAGAAATAAAAACTTACTTTCCACAAAGGAAATTAGAATTCTCACTCATTGTTAACTTCGACATGCTTCAAACGTTGATTATTTGCTCTAAATGCTGAAATAAGCTATAACATGTCAAGTGCATAGACGAGCAACAAATCACACACAATTAAGCTGTTTAAGAAACCCACGTCTCAACGTAAAAATCCTCGAGACTACTCGCACACTACAAGTACGGACAACAAAGAAAAAGAAACCACCCCAATCAGCTCACGATCAGTCATCAATCAGTCACAGCTATCTATTTATACACAAACTGGAGTTCCTCGCTTTCTATTACATATTTTTGTCTCTAACCACAGAAATTTAGCAATATATTTTCTCTGCCTCTCGTTTTCTATTTAATTCTTATGACATTTTAAAATAGTTTACAGTAAGTAACTTAAAAAGCGCTAATATGAAATTTTGAATAGATAACGAGGTTTAGTCTTCTTAATGCGATCATTTAGCGGCTCGGATATGATATGCAAATTTGAGGTACGAGCGTTCATGTCACTAAGTATATGAAGCCAGTAACGCCGTGACCTTTGACCCCGTGAACTCGTTTTTGAAAATGATGTGTTGTGAGTAATTAAGCGAGTGATTCCGTATTCATCAAATATAGCACTCTCTCGGATGAGACAAAAGATTCTGAGCTGGTACTCAGCAGAATTTGCTCGACGTTTTCGCACGTTAAAAGTCCAAGTTCTGATTGATCCTTGAATTGATCCCATGAAGTTTACCTGATATTCAATCGTCTCGATAATACTTCTGCGTCTCGTTTATTTTACTTAATAATTGTATCTTCTATGCTTTCACTAGTGTACTTCGAAAATTTCTATAAATTAAGATGGTAAAGTCAGATGTTCTGAGCTTAATATTGAAAAAAAAATTAAATAATTGGGTGGTAAGTAAACCTAATTTTGATAGATAGTAGATATATTATTAAAGATTAGAGGTATCACTAGCTCAGTTCTGGTCAGTAGATTCACTTCCAATTGTATGGTTAGAAATCCGTGATAATGTTAGAACTGTCTACGTTCTTGTTTATGTGATTAAGGTTTCTGGTGTTTGATCATTTGCATGTAAAAGAATTTTGATTATTTTAAGATTTTAAATCCAAAATGGTCTACTTGAGAATGATGTTTCAACAGGCAAAACGCGATATAATACGACCTATACTTTGAACTTCAAGTTATTGATTATCCATGAACCGATTTAACAACTTAATGATGAACCAGTGCATATATAAATGTCTGTAGTTTGTAAGCTTTAGCCAGAATTGTTATTTCTTATAGCTTCATGCTGCAATTGCGTATTTTAAGGACCTTAGGTGCACTTTATCTTTTTAACTTTGGTTCTAAATGTAAACTCTCAGTTCCGTGCTATTTGAATGCAGAACCGCAGTTACTTCAGTCTCCCTTTCCTTCTAGATGTGAATTGCTTAAAATTTTGTTGTTTATAACAGTTCATTACTTAAAGTAAATTATTGCTGGAAAAAAGCTTTTCCTAGCTTTTTTGGAACTGTAAGAACGGAAAACAGTCTATTAAAAGATACAATAAAAATACAACTCATTATTGTATCTTTTAATAGACTGTTTTCCATTCTAGATAGTAAACTAAATTTATTTTTCAATGATTTGGATGCACTCTGTTATTAATACTTTGATTATTGACCATTGATATCGCTTGATCCAATTAAAAATGTAGTTATAAATCAAACTTCTGAAATTTAGAAAACGGCAATAAACTGGATTTAGTTCCTTGCTGTTTTGAGGCTAACTGATTCTGTATTAATATGCGTGGAGTTATTTCTCATGATTTTCTTGATCCAACAAGCAGCAAAGAAATTGAGGTTAACTACAGTTTTTTCCTTCATATCTTTCTTTAGTTAATGGCTGTCAAAGTCATAAATAGTATTTGTTTTGGATATTATTCATTATCTTGTTATTTGGTAAACTATGAAATTCTGAAATTGCAGACTGAAGTGGTAGTTGAAATACTTTTGATTCAGATCCAGTACTGCTTATAATGGTTTAGATTTTCCCTTTCTTTCGGCTAAAATTGATAAAATGCAATAATTTTATTTACAGAACATAATTCACTGCTGTCTTCAACATTTTGAGTATGATGATGCAGTAATTCTGGCTGAATTGTATCATGAGACTGGTTCGTATCTGTTTTTTCTGACCTTATCAACAATTTTTTATTTTTAATATTCAAAAATGAAAGGTTTCAATCATAAATTTGCATATACATTTTAAAGGATTTTTTTTTCTTAATATCACGGGAACACTGTTGTAAAATAGCTTTTTTAAATGGAAAATTCAATATTTTGAAATGATACGTTGTATATCATTAATATGAAGTCTTTTTAGTGAATACAGGTGATTCTCTATATTTGTATGCATATTGCTTGGCTCGCGCTGAACGTTTAGAAGCGGTATATAGTTTACTGAAGCTCAAATTTTTAACATCTTCTCCAGAAATTCGTTATTTATTTGCACATTGCTGTTATCATCTTGAAAGGTATAAATCTCTGCCATGTTTTGTGCCACTTTTTATTGTTAATTTCAATATCTTGAGCATAGTATTCTTCAACATATCGAATAATAAAAATTATGCTGTTGCAGATATCAAGAAGCTGAGTTATCTCTACGCATACATGATCAGCCAAAATTGGATGATTGTTTTATCAGTACATCGGTGGAGTCATTTGCTCATAGCCTTCTTAGCAGAATTTTGTTGTATGTATTATCGATTTTAGATAGCAGCAAAACGAATATATAGGCACAGTTTCTAAAACAGATTATCATTTTAGAAATTGATTTGATCAAAAAACTTAAAATACATCTTTGATCATTAGATTCAGTTGCTTTCCAGAGAAACTGGTCGACCTGAAGAAGCAGCTAACGAGTGTCATTTAGCTCTGAATCAGAATGTATTTTCTTGGACAAGTTTGAAAACATTATGCAGTTTGGGTGCAGGAAATCCGGAACATGTCTACTCAACTTTGTTGAAATGTGTCAAGAAAGCTCGTGCAGCGGATAAACCTAAAAGTTCAAAGCGGTATGGTTTAACTAAGAAGTTTATCGTTATTTTTGAAGTCTTTTTGACGTCATCTTTGTCTTACTTATCTCAAGTTAAAAAACATTAAACATACTTGTCAAAAACTAGGAATAAGTGATGAAGTTTATAGGCTTCACTTTTTATTAAATTATTTTTTGCTTTTAAGAATTTCTACTTATTTTCAAAATCTAGCCGCTGACAAATGAAATATCATTTAATAAAATGAGCATCCTAGATTTATTTCTGTTGATTAACTGTACTTTATGACACAGTTTTTTGTGGTATGAGTTAGTTAAAAGCTATAATCTTTCAAAGAATTTAATTCGTTGTTGCTCAATTTTATGTTGTCGTAAGTAGTCATTTTGCTGGCTAGGTTATATAGATTCATCAGTGTTTGGTGGGTTTAAACTTTCAGCACAGGAGCAGCCACTAAACGTTCAGGGAAATCAACTAAAAATCTAGAAAGAAAGACACCAAGTGGTAGTAAAGAAGCTGAACAAAAGATCACTTGCTTTGCACCAAAAAAAACCAAAGCGGTTAGGCTTTGACTGAAATTGGCATGCAACTGCAAATTAATATATATATTTCTCTTTTAAGTTGGCATGTATAATAATTTATTCAAGTTTTTATTTTAGTGTGTAGCCTCTAAACGAAACATGGAATTAAATATGCCTCGAAAAGAGGGCATGGAAACTCGACGTACTACTCGTTCGTATACAGTTTTGCATGACAGTGAAAATCAAACTCTTTCCAAAGATTTAAGGACTTGTACGCGTTCTCGTGTTGCAGGTTTATCAACGGGTCGAGCATTGCGTTTACAAGACAAACAATTACGGTATAAGAAAATTGTTGAAAAATGTTACTTTATATACAAAGATGGAAAATTTATGTTATTCATAATTACAGCTCTATGAATCGCATTAATGAATTGGAGTTACCAAATGCTCCATCACCAGAAATATCTTCAATTCATAAATTAATGGAATCAAATCATGGATTGACAGATACACCATCTAAAGTTCAGTCCGAAGCTGCTCAAGAAGCACAGAGAAACCTGGTGATTGGTACCCGTTCAGGCTCTCAGCCTGGTGTTTTTCCATTATTCTCATATGATCAAAACACAGTAAAATTCAAACAAGAAGTTAGTTTTCTTGGCTATTTTTTTGAGCTGCTCACGGATACATGCCAGAAAGTACTTCAGGTTCTTCATAATGAAAGTCTTAAAGTCATACAAGCCTGAATTGTAGCCGGAATTATTATCGAATGTATTCTCGCGTTCGTCATCCAGTGCTTCAATAACGTCTTCAACTTGTTCATCACAATTACGTAGCCACAAGAAGTCCTCATCAGAAACGTGTACTCAAATAATGCAGCGTCTACAAGCGTTTATTTTAAATCCACCATCATTAAATCGTCTTCAATGTTGTACTGCTGATTGGTCTTCTTGTTTTGGTACTTTTTGCTTGTAGAAATTAGATTTAGTTCAGTAGAAACCCAACCAAACAAATTAAAATATAGGATAAATGAATGATAGTGGTTTTAGAGTCTTTTTTTAATACTTTTGTTGAAGTCGGCCACTTTCTGCATCAAGTTAAACCACTATTTATACTTCCAGCAACGGTGGTAGAATATACTAGTTGGTTAGCAATGCTTCACTGTGCTGTAGCAGCGTATCAATCAAATGGTGTAATTGATTGGTACGGTAAAATGCCTGAAAAATGCAAAAAATTTGCTTTGGCACGAGAAATGTTGGCTAGAGCCTATCTAGAAAAGCTTGATTACACGAAGACAATAGAAATCTTGGAGGAGCTTCATCGAGAATTTCCTCATCGTGTTTCAGGCATGGAAGTCAGTTACTATTTTAATTATAACTCACTATTTCATGTAAATTTTTCCAATTATATTCATTGTTTATCTATGGACAGTGCACATAAAAAGACATTTAATAGTTTTATCTATATACTTTTCGTTGAAGGTTTTTCTATCATTAATATGTATTAAAATACGTTACATTATTGTTAAATGCAAATATTCTCTTATTAGAGTTATTTATGTACTAAACTGCATGTTTTTGATGATTATTCATACCATACTTTCTTAATCCTTTCTAAATTTTAATCAATTTATTTGTGGTTTATCTTCTTAATTATAATAATAATATAAAAGAGAACATGTTTCCTCTTAGCAATGATTTTGAAATAAATTCAGGTTATTAGAAGGTACTTATTTGTCACAAAGTACTTTTAATATAAAGTGTAAAATTTCGGTTACATGATGTTATTTAAGATTCTTTCAACTGCATTATGGCATGCGCAAGATTCTCGTCGATTATCTGTACTTGCCATGCAAATAACAGAGGAAAGCCGTTCTTGTGCTGAAAGTTGGTGTGTTGCTGGAAATTGCTTCAGCGTTCAAAAACAGCACGATGTAGCCATTGAATGCTTTGAACGTGCGGTTACAGTTAATTCTCGTTTTCCATATGCTTATACGTTGTTAGGACATGAATTATTAGACTCGGATCATCACAGCAAAGCTGCCGCTGCTTTCAGGCAAATTTTCAAATGCTCTTGAAATGTTTGATCTTTTTGATGTTACCTAACTACAAAGACTGGTTACGATAGTTGGTAGTCATTTAAGAAAACCGTGGTGATAGAAGCTAAATACCTGGCAAGAACTTGAGAACTTTAATAAATTTCAAGCTGATTTAATTCTTTCTGCAACCAATTTCTTACGTTACCTTTTCAAAAAAGTTTCTGTTGATTTTAATGTACTGATGAAGTATGTAAATAAAACAATCAAACAAATTTCAGTATGAACGAAAGTTTTTGAATTTTTCATCAATTTAGACTGACTTCATGAATGAAGTTGCTCAGCATAAGTATTCAACAGCGTCTTTGCAGTTTTCTTTTTAAGTCATTTTCAATACCCAAACTAATAAATTTTGTTATAAAACTTTCCAGCATTTACTGATGTCATGTTTTATGTATGAAATATAATGTAAAGGAAGTAGAATAATTTCAGGCGTGCACTTCTTCTTTGTCCCACAGATTACCGTGCATGGTTTGGATTAGGCTTACTGCATTTCAAAAAGGAACAGCTGAATCTTGCTCGTGTTCACCTAACCAGAGCTGTTGCCATAAATCCATTCAATTCAGTTCTGTTGTGCCAGTTGTCCATTGTTGAACAGTCACTTCATAATAATAACACGGTAGGATATTATACCACAGTATCTTGATTTAAAAGAAGAAACCAATAACTTTTTCATTAAATTTTCAAAATCAGCTTCATGAAAGAATATCAAAAAATTGAAAAAGTTGTTGGTAAGCAAATTTGAAATATTAAATTTTTCCCAGGGTGCCAATAATGAGAAATAAATATACCGCAAATACGTCATGTTTTATGTATTTTATGGTCTTCCATAAGTATAAATTGAGCATAAGGGTATTATAAATCTTGATCACGATGAGTATTATAGATAGTTGTACTATTTATTAATTAATAGGCAATGGATTTATTACAAAAAGCTCTGAAAATTTCACCCGATAACGCTGCTTGTAAATTCTATCGTGCTCGTTTGCTGTTTGAAATGCATGATTATGCTCAGTGTCTTGAAGAATTAAATGATTTAAAACTTATTGCTCATGATGAAGCACAGGTATATTGCTTTTGTAACTTTAAAAAATTTTATAGTTCTTTACTGATTGAATTGCATATCACACAAGTTTAATGTCAATTCTCATGAGTGCTATATTAAACAGGAATCATAAGTCTCATTTTCTCTTGAAAAAATTTTTGGATTCAAATGATGTTTCATTTTCTTATTTGTTGTATTTAATTTGTAGAAGGACTTAGTCAAAATTTTCACATTTAAAGAACTTTTAGGTATTTTTTCTTTTGGGCCGCGTTCACAAAAAGCTTGGTGACACACATCTAGCTTTGCTAAACTTTAGTTTAGCCACAGAAATGGATCCTCGAGGTGAGCAGAGTCGTAATAATTTCACTGATGCACCATATGATGACGAACCATGCTGTCTACCACCCGATTGAAACCCATCAGTTATTTACTTGTATAGATTTTGCAAATTTTTTAAATTTAGAAGTACTTGGATGTTTTTAAAAATTTAGGACTGTCCATCAGTGAACAAACCTAGTAATTGTATCATCTTATGATCTTCCATCTGTATGACTTCTAATGGTCTGTTTATTTATACTTAGTTTCGGCTGTTGGAAGCTTGTTTCTAGAAAATTGTTTTAGCTATATTAGGGTGGTTGAAAACTATTTGAAGCAAGTATGACTGGTCTGTTTCATATTCATAAAACTTGATTGTATTTCCGAATCTGATTCACAGAATTAGAATCTTCATTCCACTTTGTAATAGTACGCTCATCGTTTTTTCTAAAGTGATTGAAACTATTTCTATATTGGAAAATCTCAAGTTATTAAAAGTATAGCTTATTCATTGTTACTGCAGTGGTATTGTTCACATGTTTTTAAATTCCCAGTCATTAGGAAATAGACCGCTTCGTTGTGCTCATCTAAAATTTAATATATTTTCTCAACTTTAAAATATCTTTGAGCAATATTTTATCTTTTATTTGAGTTTGAATCAGGTAAAATAACAATCTGTCGACTAAAAATAACCATGCATAAGTGATTTCCGCAAAAATTACAACTATAGTGCAATCAGTTTTTACGGTCCTTTTTCGAAATTCTATCCGTATGAAGAATAAAATAGTGATGATTTGCAAGCCTCCAGTCTTTCTTCGTTTCATCATGTCATTCACTTTTCCACTACACACTTGTACGTCTCTATCTTGCTGTTTTGTGATATCCCTAAACCAGTTGTTCCTTTGCTGTATTGCCCATGACTATTGCTATTTTTGCTACAACCTTAATTTGTATGCCTGCTTAAAATGAGATCTTTTATTCTGTTTCGCGAAATTCTTCTTGGTCACAATATAAGTGTACTTAATAGCTCTATAAGAGTTCGATATCCTTACCAATTATGGAGTCTAAGAAAATCTCTCACATTTTTCAAAATAGTTCAGACTCATACAAAAATGACCGGAACGATTTATTCAGTAAATCATGAAACTATAAATTAAATATTCCAACACCGCACAACACTGATAAAAATTAATAACAGGAAATCAGTGTCAAGAGGAACATTTTAACAAATTGAGTGCACAGGACTTCACCGAATACACTAAAATATGGTCAGGTCAGGACAAAATCATTAGTATGTACAACACGCCCAAACTCTTCTATAATGATGTTTCTATTCAAATTTTTAAGGCAACGTAATGTCAAAGAGGGAGAAAAAAAAAACTTTCGACCACTCACCTACCTATAGCAAATAACTCCGAAAAAAAAATGGAGTTTGGGCTGTGCATTTCAACTGAACACTGCAACTGAAGAAAACAAAATAAGTTATTTATTAACAGTCCTCAGCAAACGGATGTTATGTCGATCGAGGGCATGAGCAATAAGCAGTCCTCCACTTTTACACATTTCATCACACATTGAGCACTGCCATTTTATTTCTTCCTGCTCAACTTCACCTTCAACTGATAATTGCAAAGCAAATAAGAACTTTCATTTCATATTTATAATATGAACATTTACGCGTTAGTGAAGAAAGACAAACCATCATCTGAATTTGCAGGACAAGCACATTTACGATGTTCTCTGAACTCTTCAAAATCACTAGTAACAAAACGACAGCCTCCACAAATCAGTGTATCAGGCATACCTGTAAAAAAAATTTATAGCACATCAAGTTTAAAACACTGATGTGATCTTTTATAAAATGTGATTCATGAAAAAAATTTGGTATTCAATATTATCAATAATGCAAATACGTACAAAAACTGAATTCTAATTATCACTTGATAGACAAGTAAATCCAAATTAATAAAATCATGGTTTTAACTGAATTAAATTCACTTGTTTATGTTGTAAGATAAGCCTGAAGTCTTGTTAGATATTCCTGAAATTTTCAAATTGAAAACGAGAAACGTTATTATACCAGTTTTATACAAGTTTCGTCTATCCGTATTATCGATTGTAACAAAGTGCCGATTTCGTTTGTTCTGTGCTGCCGCTCCTTTCCCATAATCATCAAGACGTTCCTTTTTGGGACTTGCATTGCTACCGGAGAAATTTTCTGCGCTCCTTTTCATCCTGAAATCCATAGCAACCAGTTTGCAATTTAATAAGAAAGATACTAAGCAAAGTAACTTACCTTTGAAGATTTTTCATGTAAATTTTAAATTCAATCTAAATTAGCCTTTCAAACAACGTTCAATGGACCATTATCAAAAACAAAAAAACTTATGATCAAAAGCTTACTTCAAAAAGTACACCAAATTTAAAAAAAATTTTTAATTAATAAAAAAAATCTTCGAACTATCCTTCTCAGTTCATAGTGAAAAAATAAGAAACAAAACTGAAACACCCTGAAAAAGGTCAAAAACAAGAAGGACTCAAGATAGAAAGTAAGAAATGCCGCTCCATCTAGCCGACAAAAACTTTCGAAAAAATACCCGTTAGAGGTTGAAACAGTCGATGTTACGTTGTGCGACTTCATTCCAGCAATAGCGAGCTTCACATCTAAGAAAAATCATGAAAATATAAAAAAAATTCCCTCTTATGATGTAACCTATTTTCGAATGAAGACTGAAATATGAGCTATAAAAAAAAATCACTGAATTACAGTCGCGAAAAGAATTTTCACAACTGAAAATCAGAATGAACTTAAAAATTTGTATCAAAAAATTTCTAACCGAGAAAAAACAAGTTAGGAAGAATGAAAAAAATTCTCAAAACCGAAAACTTCCCACTACAAGAAGCACCTCAGCAACTGATGAATCTAATATATGAGATACGCAGAAGGACATGAGCAAAAGATTCACGATTATGAATGTCTAATTTGCTCAGCTTACCAAGAATGGAACCATTCCAACCGTAACCATTAAGGGCGCCTACAGCAAGATCAGCTTCCGCCGACGAACCATATTGTATGAACGCATATCCTTTAAACACCGTCACACCTAGCAAAGTACCGTATGCGCTAAATAGTCGAATAATATCGTCTCGAGTGATGGTATTTGTATTAATATTTCCAACAAATACCCGAGCCCTAAATAATGACATCTTTACCAAAACTTCAAAATTTTCCGTCGTCAATCTACTATATTCTGCTGTTGTTGCAGCAAATGTATATTTTACCGACTGTTCCCCAACTACTGAATAAATTTATGTACTGGCCCTAACAACGGTAATGTTTGGAATCCATAGTTCGTTTTAATTGAATTTGAAAAATATCTAAAAATGAGACACTCTAAAGATAAAAAAAATCCTAACCTTTTAAAAACTTTATCAGATAACTCTGGGAGTCAAAAACTTTACTGAAATTATTAGAAGAACAACCACTTCCAGCCAAAGTTTATATTTTAGTAGAAAATCTTACAAAAATTTATGAATCAATGGAATAAAAGTAGTATTCTCAAATGATATAGAAGTTATGATGCTACACACTTTTGAAAACTGAATCAAGATTTCATGGCAAGCAAAGTAGGTCATCATAATGATTTATAATAAAACCGTTTTAATGTGAAAGGTTACATTCCAGAAAAAGATTTTGACATTCTGTTTTTACACTCAAAAACCATGTAATGAAGAAAGCTAAATTGAAAGTTGGGATGAACTTCAAAATAATTCGAAAAATTTAACAAGACTTCAAGGAAAAATTGATAAAAGACTAGAAAAAATTTACTTCACTATAAATAGAAAAACTTGCGCGGACAAAACTAAAAATGTGGAAGTGTGTGTATACTAATTAAAGATCTTCATAAAGCAGAGATTGGCAAAAGTAAATGATACAGGACAGATCCGAATTAAAAAGATAATAAGCCGACTACATAATAAATTTCCATCAGGTTTTTTCTTATTAACAAACGAATACTTTTTTCACTCACATAGAAATCAACACTAGCTGATAACTCTAAAAACCGCAGTGGAAGATAGTCTAAAATTTTAATTACCTTACAAGGTGAGGCTCCTTCGAGCTGGTGTCAAAACTAACATCTCGAACCTTGAGAGTTTGACTACTACCAAACACAGAAGTCGGTGGCCTTCAAAAACTTAGATTTTGACTACATAAACCTTGTACTGTTTACATTAAAAATTAGACCAGAATAATGTTAATACGCTTCACAACATGAATACATCAAGCACTCGACAGACATATTTTTAGTTCCTTTACTGTACAGAAAGAGCCACTTCTTTAGAGTAACCTTCTGTAGCAGAAAAAGCTATAAAAATGTGAGCAAAATATAAAATTATTGGAACAAGTATTAAACTCATTTGTTACATAAACAATGGGATATAATGAACTTACACTCCGCTTACTAACGAATATGTTCCAGATGTTGCCTCTCCAAACCCATAGCCTACAAATGCAAAGTGAACTATCATAATTGTACATATTTTTTTAATATAATTGACTGTTAAAATAAAATAATTTGAATCCCAAATTCGTTAAAATCTTCAATCTAACTAAAAAAATTAATATGCAAAAAGAGCTTTTATGAACCGAAACAGCTCATTTTCCACCTCCAAGCTATCAGAATTTGTAACTAAACTAAATAACAAATAAATTACAAAAAAATATATCTTTTTTGGTTAAGACTGTAAGGAATTTATACCTCGCAAAGCTCGGTTCGATGAGAACATAACAACGATAATACTGATAATAACAATAGTAATAGTGATAACGATAAGACTATGCTTTAATTAATACAAGAAAGAGGTAAGAAAAAAGAGCAGTGGGAAGGGTAGAGAGGTACACAGAGGAAAAAATTAAAGAAGGAAAACGAAAAGTGTAAAGATCACAAATATGGCAATTGCAAGTTTTAAATATTACAAAACAAAACTGTCAAAAATTCCAGCGATCAAATCGTAGATATAAACTTCTTCTGAAATATAATAACCAACCCGCTTTGTAAGCCAATCTGTAAAAGTCCACCAACTGATGCACATCGTATATGGGTGTAACGGATGCGGCACACATTTCAATAATGTCAAGCTTATAAGTAATACATCAACAAAATGTATATGTAGAAAATGATGAAGGCCACGAAGTCTGGTTGAATCAAACGTAATTTGATCGAATCTGGCTTAAGCAGTCAAGCAATCAGCCAGCCGATATAAAAGTAGACAAACTTGCAACTGAACTGACCGAATCTTTTACCTTTGCAATTATATACTAAGAACTGACAAACTTTCTATACCTTTCTGCTTGAGTTCTTGCATAATATACATACATGTAGAAAACTTTCTTCCTCTCTTTTTCCAACAATCACGATACATCTTGATCTATCTGTGTGACCAAATACTACAGTCCTGATCTATCTGCCACCGTTAACTGGCATAAAAATGCCTTGAACAAAAAGAATATGACTGGCATTTGATCCAATTACCTTCACGCAGACAAGTCATAGCATAATAAATCAAATTACTCAAGACAGTGCAAATTCCTACAAATAAATAGAATACTACAAGATATACTGTGCTCTTAATCACCTCTGAAACCAAACAGATAACAGTCTCAGATTACTTAAGCCCACTAATCAAATAAAACGCAGTATGAGTATAGAGATCAGTGGAAACGCAATGAAAACGAGCGTCCAACATAACAGCAACATCTTGTAGTTCATATAGTGTTTGTCTGGCAATATTTCACTATTTTGTGGCTAAATCGCAGGAAAGAATTGCGGTGTGATTGTATTATCATGTCACGCTATAATCGAGCAGTGCCACTGTAGTATATGATTTGATATTTCTCTGACGTGAGTAATTAATTACCACAGTGATGTATGACCATTTTAGCGAAAATAGAATGGATAAGTATGAATTAGTAGTCTGTGATTATGAGTATTACTCGTTCTGAACTCGTTCTGAAGTTAATACTACCTCATTGCCTTCATCATCTGCCTTACAAAAGTTTAATGAGTGTTATGGCTGTTGATAATTATCAAATATAGACGTAGAATGTGAAGGAAAAGAAAAATATGATCAATTTAATGATGTAATGATTGTTCATGAAATGATACTGATTAAAGGTGCACGAAAACCATACACATATGATGAATCACCGTCATAAATAAGTCCATTACACTTTTGATTTCATGAATTGTTAGGTCTAACACAAATTTAGCACCAATTGCAGTAGTCAGGTACTTTTTTATTTCGAGGAAATCAATAATAGAGCGAGGAATACGCGTGAGTTACTTCAGCAGTTGGATAATCTCAGAGTTGAGGTGAAAAGTGAAGAGATAAGTACGTGCATGCCTAAACTTTGCTAGATTGAATAATTATTCCAAGAGTGCCTGACTGTGTAAAGAATAATCTGAAGTAGTGTTAAATGCAATTATAGATGGTTGTTGAATGAGTTCTGCTTGGTTGGGTAGTTACTAAAAAAGATATTAATGAGATGTGAGATGACAAATTGCATAAGTGATCACGCTATCACACAAAATTTGAATGGTAGCTCGAATAGCAAAAAAGATTGAAATGCTTTATTTTCAGCTACTTAGTTCACTTCTATTCTATTGCTCGTTTAAATTCATGTGAATGCTTGCTGGTAAATTTCTGACCTCTGTTATGTTTCGCAAAGTCAAGTAAGGAGAATGTTTGCAAAATCGTTTACTTTTATGTTTTGTTCTGTTAAGATCGCAAGTGTAACTTGAAAATTTCAATTGCAGTAATAATTCCATTAAGGAAGCGAGACGTTTTACACGTTTAGTGAGACTTATTACGTTTCATACGTATTTTTTGCTACAGATTGCTACAAATCTTTGATCTCCTTTTTAATTATTTCACTTCTTTATAGTGCTTCTGCATGCTGCGTAGCCACATGAACAAATGCGCATGAGTAAAGAGACGCCCAATACGTGGATACAAAATTGCACTTGCAAACATGGACACATATATCGCTTCCAAAGTAAAATACCTACCTTATAAACAGATGCTAAATAGTCATCTCTAAAGCATTTTTCCAGCGACTCATGCAGAAATTTTTCGCAATTTTGTCTGTGAGATCACGTTCACGGTCACGTAAGAAAGGTATTCATGTTATATTTGCCAAAAATGAAGAAGTGAGAAGAGAGTAAAATGATTTAAATATAGGTTTCTCGCTATAAATTTGCATCTTTGTGGCTCATGCGCTTAACACGTTTGTGGCAAGCAGAAAGTAGTAATGCATTATCTTGCGCACTTTTACTTGACCTCCGCAAGTAACACCTGTGTTGGCATCATCGTTTTCTATTCCTTAATACCGTAGTTTCAGGTTGCAATTATTTTTAAACCTTTTTCTTAGAGACAATATTTATTTTAGGTCTTTTCGTATCACTTTTCATTTAATACCAAATGCTACATGCTTTTTGATGAAGTAAATTTGTTTAGTTAGTACTGGCTTCCAATTTCAACCGAAAAAGAAGATTTCAGATAAATAATTTCTCAAGTAAATAATCTTTTAACATTGTTTGAAATTATGTTTTTATAAATGAACATGGTAGCAAAGTTACAGTATTTTGTGATTTCCTTAAATCTGACAGATTTCAATCAATGAAACTAGAATGGCATTCATGTTGCAAAGGTTATCATCGTCGCTCTCGTACTCACCTTCAACTTCGTCGTAGCACCAGTAATAGCAGCACCAGATACAGGTCAAGGTGAGAACTGCCATTTTCTACTCCAACTTTGTTCGCATTCTTTCTCTTAAATTAATTAATCAATCAATTAATCATTTCCAATCATTTCTGATTTTGAATTCATTTTTAATTTTGAATACTTTTATGCTTATCGTTATCATTTATTGTTTCCGTTGCAATTAGCAAGCAAGAATTTCACTCAAATCAGAATTAAATTTGTAAATGAAATATCTACTAGAAGAGAAAGAATACGCATGCTAACTACGGTGGCAGAGATGAGCTGTTTTGCTTGCGTAGCTTTCTCTTTTGGCTCCATCTGCCAGATGGACGAATTCGGGTTGGCTTGGTCTAAATGGCTTGGCCAATCATACTTAGTTCCTCTATGACTCATCCCTCTGATGTCCAAATTATCAGAAACCAATCCATCTAATAATTTTTGCTATTTTTTTCATCTATTTCGTTTTCTTCTATTTACGACTAATTTCTTATTGTTCAAAAATTTAATTTTTTTACTTATATTTCAGTGTTTTAAATATATTTTATTGTAGCAAACTTTTTGAATCTTTGATTAATGAATATATTTAATGAAATAAATTCTCTTAGAATTGAAAAAAACACAATTTTATTTTTAAGTTTATACATAAATTTTGGTGTTAATTTTCTTTGTAGAACTTTTGAAATAAGAAAAATACTTGCAGACATAATTTCCAAACAGATTAAAACGAAACACTATGCTTTTTCATTATTCTCGAAAGTATGTCATGAACCCGTTGACTTTTCCACGCTTTCGTCAATTTACTTTTAATCTTTTGCATATTTGCAAGCGTAAATTCTTTAATGCGTGAAATGTTAAAACGTTAAATCTTTGTGGGTTATGAGTTATACTTTCAATAATTTCTCGCAATATCTTTCGTCGTTTTTTTCTTTTATGCATTTTTTGAGTTACTAAATAATTACGCAGTCGTAAAAGATTTGACTTATTCCGTCGCAGCAAAAGTCAAATTATTCTTTCTATATTTTTACTCAGTTCATTCTGTTAAATAACTCTTTTTGACTCAAATCTTTGAAATTAATTTAATTTTATTATTTTGCTCAAAAAATTGTCTAATTAGTTTGATAATTTTCATGTAACAATTTGAAACAATTAAGAATAAAATTGTATTATATGTCTGTCGTAATATGGAAATTACGACAGACATATTGTGAGGGTCAAAAGTAAGCGAATTCGTTTTTATTTGCATTCTTCGCTTCGATTGAAAAATTTTTCCATTTAATTTCTTATTTTCAGCCATTTAAAAAGTTAAAAACATTTACGTCTGCGTAAGGATCTTTATCATTTTTCAGACGACACATTAACATTTGGTACTCAAATAATTAATGAAATTTTTTATTAGTTACTTATTACTTAATCAATATTTTTTCACGTTTTTCCTGTCTTCAAAATGCAACACAGCAAGATAGATTATAATCGTTACTTACGCTAGTTTAAATACCAGCATATAAATACTAACAAAATTATAGTTTATTTCTTTTAAATCTTTTTCTAAAGCAATTTTTTTGTTTAACTGACGTAAATCTTTGCTATTATACGTAATGAAAAGTGAAACTGAAATGTTGCAGATTATCTGATCTACAGCCTATGTTATCATTTCATTTGGTAAGATTCATAATGAGTTGTAGTAATTTGTTGCTGTATTCACTCTAAATAATAATAAATACTGCTGATGAGCATTTACATTTGAGTATATTTTAATGTCTAAAAATGCATGGGAAATTATCCGCGTAATGTTTAATATGCATAACTAAGATCAAAATTAACTGCGCGGTTGGTTTCAAAATTAGCATCCCGTGAAAGGAGGAAAATACTGAATATTAATTCAGGATGAGGCGGTTATTTTGAAATAAATTCAAAATTTTACAAAGTCTGAAATAATAGGATGGGACATTGATAATTTAAATATTAATGCAGCAGTAATTATGCTATTATTTGCTTTTTTCAATTATAATAATGACGCAGATTATTTTGGACGGCAAGGCACGTTGTAAGGATCACAAACATTTTCTCGAGAAAATATGCAAATTTCAAATTGTATGCAGACACTTTAATTTTAGTAATTGTAAACTTTGACAAAATGATTTGTTTTGTAATAAAATTTGCAATGCAAATGATGAAAAAATTTGAAACAGAATAGTATGTTATAATGTACAGAATAATTAAAATGATAAATAATAATGCTATTTTTATAGTGCTATGTAATAAAAGATAAAAGTAACGAATCAAAATTAATTAATTGGTATACAGCTGTATTACTGTATGCATACCTAGCCATGCATATATTGACAGTAAAGAAAGAGTGACCCTGAACCCTTTGGTTAATCGGTTACTGGCGGGGAAAGTCCTCCTTCCCTCGTTACCTCTTTACCCCCGGAAAATTAGGTCATCTTCTGGGTCACCAATTCTAATTTCTGATTTCATAAAGCTCTCACGTTTGACCGCGGCCTAACCTTCGTTTCTCGCAAGCACTCAAAAGTGAAATCTTTCAAAGTTATTATTTTATGTTTCGGCATTTATCGCTTATATTTAAACTCTGAGTAAGTTTATTCATCTCAAAGTAACATATATAAATTCAAAGTATACATACTGTAATTGTCGAAGATGACTGCATGATAAGTCTTCTTGCGATAATAATTTCATTTTCGTTAACTGAAAATATAATGCATTTTTTATATTGTTGTTTATTATTATTCATTAACATAGTATCAATTATAGTACAGTGTCATATCCATTTCTGTAGGTAGGAAGATTATTACCACCTTAATGTTCAATCCGACAAATTAATTGACTTCGGTTTTTCTATAAGTAAATAGTATGAGCGTCACCATGGACGTACTTGTTGAGACTTTTGAGATTCGAGTTCAATCTTAATACTCATCTCTTATGTCAAAATTACAGCTAAGGTCGTCGGTTGAACTCAAGGCCGACAGATATCCATCCATGTTATAATTAGTAAGATTGGTGTATTCTTTCTCCTTTAATTCTTCTTTAATGTTGCAAAAAATTTCTCTGAAAATGCTTAGAAATGTAATAAAAAAAGATGAATTCGCATAAATTCGTAAATTTGAGCGCAGATATCGAATTATAAATAAGAATATGAATAGACAGAAATAATTATTGACTGTCATACACATTTACATTTTTGCATACTTTTCAAAGACACAAATTTTTGGTGCAATTTTTTTCATGAAAATGTTTTGTTATTATATATTCTTACTGAAATTACTACTTGAAATTGAAATAAGCAATTTAAAATACTTGAGTTATGACAAAAACGACAAGTAATTAAATACATGTGTATTGAATATTTAGTACAATAAAACTGTTCATGAATAGTGAATGGATCAAAAAGTTAAAATTACTTAATTAAAATCGATCAGAAAACGATTTATGTGAAATAAATGTGAAGGAATACTTTATGTTGTTGGATTTGTTAGGAGATGAAGAAAGTAAAAAGGCAAAGTAATAGTTGAGATGCGAGAATGGATGAATGAATGAATGAATGAATGAATGAATGAATGGGTGAATGAATGAATGAATGAATGAGTGACTTTCATTGATAAAATCATGTTATACAAGTCATGGATTTTCGCCTTCATTTCGTTTTCTATAATTTTGTCAGTGGAAAAAATTGAATTAAAAAAACTAGAAATTTCTCCAAAATGAAATAGAGCAAATCTTTTGAATATTTAAGTTTTTAATTACTCGATTAAAATGTTTTTGAATAGAAAGAGTGTGTGCAAAAAAACTGGCTCGTTCGAAGTCGAGTGATTAGTAATTCATTTCAGAAATCAATTCTTTTGATATTAAAAATTTTTAATCAAATATAAAATATAAGTCATAAATTTGTATAATTATTACCTTCTGCGGTTTTTGGTGTTCAAATATTTAATTATCAGGCTACTAAATAATTACTTAACCTAAATTCCCCTATAAAATACCTATGGGCACCTGAAATTTGCTTTGAATTGGCGATTCATTGATTTTTTTAAAAATATTTCCTATTCATAATTAGTGCTTTATTTTCTTTTGCAGCAAATATTATAAAATTTTGCCTTTGGTATATAAAAAATGAATATGAGAAATTATATAGCCTTTCCGCGCAATTTAATTATTAAAATTGCTGAATTTTGATGCGAATACGCTATTTTGTTGTTGAAATATTAAAAGAAGCGAAGTTTAAGCCTGTTTGACGTAGCCTCAATCGCACTATTTAGTCAGGCCTTCCTACTTAAGGCCCTATTCAAAATTACTACTGACCAAGGCATTAAGTAAACCTAAATAGACATACTTTAGTCTACGGTATGTGTTTGCCATTTTAGATCCGATCCACAAGCATCTAAAATTTGCTTGTATTTCTTTCCACATAATTTTTGAGAGTCATTGGATATTTCAGTCAACTTCGGAATGAGAGGTGTATTTCGAGTTGCTGGGTACATTTTTATCTCTTTCATTTCACTGTTAATTAGATAAGAAACCAAATTAAATTTTTGCTAAATTACCAAGGGTGAGAGATCTGACAACGATTATTACTTGTAATTCGATTGATCATATTTGGAATTTTTGATCCGTAAAAACTGTATCTCGTAGATTTAGCAATGTACAGTATTTAAATATTCATAAAATTTGTATAGCATCATTTCTTTACTTTAAAAGCAAAACTTGGTCAAAAGTAATAATTGGCAGAAAGTAATGTCAGCTACTATTATTTATAGCAGAATTTTATTCACTTTTTGGAAGCAAATTTTGGTTGAAAATATTTCCAAAAAAGTATTTAAGATATTTTATGCCAGTCGTCAGTATTTCTCTATTTACTCATAGTACTTCATTCTACCTAAAATAGCAACTTTCACTAAGTAAGTAATCCATACAGCTTATTAAAATTCACGTAATGCTAAGTCTTAGATAATCACTTTTGAAATAAAATCCGTACAGATTGTATCATTTAGATGATTTTTTAAGTGTTCACTTAATGCGTAGACTAAATTAAACCAAGTGACTTTATTTTTTATACTGAACAAAGTTTAGTCACTGCGTGTATATTCCAGTTTTGTTATCGTTAAGGGTTCACTAATGCGTTTATCCCAATCAGATCATCTTTCCTGGCCCACACTTACTTTAATCACATTAAATTTGCATAGCAGACAGCTTTATCATAGCTAAGCACTATCTGTGAAATGAAACTAATGGCATATATCAATCTGGTACTTGATCAAAATAAAGGAGCAATCTGTCAAAGTCTTTTTTGGATTAAATAGTTTAAAATCAAAAATCAAATAGCATTAATTAAAGTGAATTTGGTAGAATTTATTTTTAGCAATATTACTCGAAATGTAATCATTTCGCGATGTTTATGCTGATAAAAATAAAGAATTAGTCGGAAATAAATTTACACCATTTCCAAATTTATGTCAAATTTCAAAACGGTACTTTTTTAACAACCATTGGTCATTTTTTCAAAGGTTAATCTTCAAATATTTACAGGAATCAAATAATAGTTACACCAAAATTACCAGACTACTAAATGAACAAAAAAAATCATACCACAATTATTATTAGTGCAACAAATTATTGCTAAACTGAAATTACTAAAAGATAAGATTAAAATTATCAAATCAAATTATCATTAAGCTATTGGACATGTTGATATCGTTGAGATACTCAGGTTACTCATTTAAAAATACCAATTCTGCAAGACTAATACGTGAAAAAAAAAGAAATTGTAACCTTAACAAGGTGTAACCTCTTACTTACATGACTTTTATTGACATATCGTAGCTAATTATCACAACTTATCACTGCTGAAATATTTTTATAAGAAATTACACATCTATTAGTACCGATAAATCGTTTAGATGATTATTGAGTGCTTAGAACTCAACTATTAAAAACCGCGGTAAGCAACTTTCAGAAAAGTTTAAAAAACAAAAGTAATTAATTACTCGACAAGTGTATTTGTAAACTTAAAAACAAATTTTGCTCGACTGCAAGCTATGTATGTGTTTTCAACAGCAATATGTTTCTAAAACAATTTAAACAAAATGTGATGTGTAGCTTGCGGATTTATTTACTGTAAGTCTGATAGTAATTAGCTCAAAATTTGTGAATAGTGGAACTGGTAGAATTTACACCTAACAATTGCGGTCATAATAGAGTACGATAATATTTGTGGTTGTGTATAAAAGGATACATTAGTGTGTCAGAGGTAAACATAGTCAATTTCCCGCGTTGTCGAGGTGTAGTGAAAAATTTCCGATGCTTAACTCCTGTTAATACTTTGAGAGTGACTTTTTGAAAAATAGCATCAATTGAGGAAAAAGGTCACATCTTTGAAATAAAAGCAATTTATTTGGCAATTGGACATTTGCGTAACCTTTGACACATTAATAGACGTTACAAGAGAAGAGAGAGAAGAAAGAAGGGTGGGAGACATGTCAGAAAAGAATGAAAAAAGAAATAAATAGGCGGAGCATCATTGTGTAAGCCTGTAATCTCTTGCAATCTGTCATTCGTCGGATTTCTTCGTTCTCATTCTCTTTCTTTCTTTCTGTTTCTCTTTTTGCTCTCCTTCTCTCTCTTTTTATCTTCTCCCGCACCCTCCTTTTTTCTCGCACACTCTCTTTGTATTTCTAAATTCATTCTGAATCATTTTTGAGGTTGAAAGCTCTTCAATTTTTTGGCTTTTCTTAGCAAAGATTTTTATTCAAAGCAATTTTTTGTTTTATTCAAAAACGTTAGTTGTTAACTTTTTAGCGCATTCAAAAATTCAAGATTTGAACTGAACCAAAGTGAAAAGATATCGGTGGGGTCAAAGGTGATGCTAATTGCATGAAGAAAAAGCAATGGAAGGAGGAACAACGTGTTCCACCTTTGGACATGACTTCGTTACCTGTTGTAAATACGTCTTGGCTCAGTTCAAGTATCAGAAATGGCCCAGCCGGTAATAATGATGCTAATATTCAGGTAAAAATGATTTAGCAAATTAGCAAAATTTTATCAATAATAACGTGATATTTTTTTTGCACTACTTTAGAAATAACTTATCGGAAAGTGATTAAAACGAGGTTTTGTTGAGGAATCGCGGTCATCTTCACCAGAAGGAAGTAGTTCAGATTCTTCTCTGAATCGTTCATCTCATAGTGTGATTTCACATGGTGCCAACGTGAGAAATAGCGTCCACGTCGGTAATAATTCTTCAGGAGAAAAGCAAATGCTGTTGGGAACAGAGTGTGTTGTTTGTGGTGACAAATCAAGTGGCAAGCATTACGGGCAATTTTCTTGTGAAGGGTGCAAATCGTTCTTCAAAAGGTTATTTAATTAACGAAAACTGTATATTGTCGCTAATTAATCAGATTTCCTTCTCGAAAACTCTTCTCATTTCACGTAAATCAGAGTTTTTTACAGTACTTTCTTGCCATGCAAATGTTGAGAACACATGGATTTAGCGAAGGTTAAATTTGCTACGTTATAAAAACTTCCAGAATCTCATATCCGAACCTATTTTTGTTTTCTAAAAAGTCTCGAATCGTGTAACCTAATCGTTAGATTAGATTTGATACTCATATAAAGCAGTAATGAAGTGAAAATCAAAATAAAATCAACCATCTTTAGATTAAAATCATAGTTTTCCTTTGTAATTCTCTCACAATCATAAGTATTCATAAATGTTTTCGAGTTATGATTTAATTTCATTACTTTGATTGAACAGTAATGAATACCAAAATTACAAATCAAAATTTGAATTGAATAACTGATAAATTTTTTTAAGTACATATTCATTTTTGTTGTAATCATTCCTTTTGCAGTTTCTTCATGACTGTTTCATAAATTTGATTACATTGTAACTAAATAAAAGAATTGTTTAAGTATCACTTAGAATAAACATATCATAAATGAATGGAATTACGTTGCGCTTGTATTGTTTTCTTTTCAAATGATTTGAAATTTTTAATTTTCACTTCGAAGTTGTGATTTTCTGAAAAAAAAAATTAAATTTAGTTGTGTTTTGTTAAATTTTTGTACTCTGAAATGAACCAAATGTAATTAATGGTGAGTGAGGTGATTGATTGAGTTGAATTTAATTTCCATATCAGATCAATTAGACGAAGTCTTAATTATACTTGTCGTGGTTCGAAGAATTGTCCAGTGGATGTGAATCATCGTAACCAGTGTCAATATTGTCGTTTAAAAAAATGCGAAAGAATGGGAATGCGCAAAGAAGGTTTGTTAATTATTAATTTTGGCAAATTAATTAGTAGTAATTAACTTGTTAAGTTGACTAATTTTATTTCTGCTTAGGGTTATATTAGAAAATCTATGCTTAAATTACCACACAACAGTCTTCCCTTTTATTTGGCCAATTAGTGAAATCAATCACTTGAAGAGAACAAAAACGAACAGTTCATAGCATTGGCCTTTTCCGTTCAAGTGGAACAGGCGATGGAAAAGAGTATCTCAGGTTCAGGTTCAGGTACCATTCACTACCAGCCAGACAGACCACTTCCATCTGTTCTAAATGAGTTCGAACATATTTCTGGTTGAGGTATAAGTTAACATTACTGAACCTTTCACCCACACTTAATTTTGACTTTTTTTTCAAGCATACATTTATGAAAGCATTTGTGCTGAAAGTAATTAAACATAGTTAATTTGAATTTGCATTTGCATTTGCATTTGCATATGCATTATAAAACTAGATCAGTCATGGCACAAATTTGGATAGTCAGTTACTTACTCACTAAGTAAGTAAGTAAGTAAAGAGTAAAACTAGTTATTCATTCACTTTCTTTCGCTTCTTATTCTACATCCTTCAAAATACATCAGCACAGCTTTCTTCTTCCTCGCATTCTGAAAATATACCCAAGTTTATGCAGCAGTACATTACATTGTTGTATAACTCTGTGCAGAAGTCTTTCTTTCATGGATTAGAAGAGTAATACCTAACTCACTTTGCATACTATAATATTTACAGCGGTATGTCCATACCAGACTTCGTGCTTGAGATTTTCCTTCGTTACTTCAAAAAGCGTTAATACCTTATAACCAAGTTAATTGATCTACTATTTTGCATATTAAAAATTGAGATTATCTTATTTCCTCTCAATATTCTATAATTCACATATTAATGTCATAGAAATGAGGAAAAAAAGCACCAAAAAATGTTGAATACTTTTGACTACTTTTCTCCCTGAGCTATTTCTTTCATGACCAGTAATAATTGTCAGTTTAATAATTATAAAGTAGTTATTATTAATATAATTGTAGCAGTTCAACGTGGGAGAATACCAGCAAATATGACAAACACGTTTTCATCGTCAGTTCTGTTCAGTGAACGATTGATGACAGTCACAAATCAACCGATTAATTCGAACTTTTCAACTATTGTAACGCATTTAATTCAAGCTGAACCTTACCCATTCACAATTAACTGTGAGTTATTTATTCTAATCTTCAAAGCGTAAAAATCACATTTATTAGAATTGTCGACAATTTTCGCATCCTTAAGTTTTCTGTATTCCGTTCATTTTATCCAGCCCATTCCAGATGATTGAATCATTTGTCCTTCCACTAGTTTACAACATTCTACGGGGCACTGAAATTAATTTTAAATATCATCAATTCAAAATCGCTTTACCTTAATGCTAACTCTTAATTTTTGAACTGAACAAAAGTTGATTTTATTCTGTTATACCAATAGCTCTTTCCTGTTTTCGAAAAAATTTGAAATATAAAAACTTCAATGTAACAATTTTTTAGTTTTTGCTTGCTTAATTCTGCTCCGTCTTAAAATGTTGCTATGTATTTTTAAACTTACTACTAAATATAAGCTGTACTGTAACAATATTAACAAAAAGTTTTGCATACTAAATTTTAAATTTAAGTTTGTCTTAATGCTTCACTGAAAAGAAAGTAGATTTGTTGAAAAAATTTTTCTTCAATTACTGATTTTGTCAGTTGATTATTTAAAATGTAATCATTTGTTCGCAGAGAATTAATAGGAAAAATGTAATATAAATATATATCGATGATGACAGCTTTATTAAAATGGTAAGAATTTGTTGCATCAAAAAATAATGCAAGTATATTACTGCGATTATTGGAATGTAACGCACATCCGTGCACTGATTATTTTTGTGATTAATAAAAATTCTCATAAAGCTTCTCAAATTCAGTGAAATCATGATTGCATTATAGTTAATTTGTTAGTTTGTAATTATTGAAAAAAGCATGGAATCGAGAACCAGAAATAAGTTGAAGGTTTTTCATAGACGAAGTATTTATTTTTAATCAAGATTAACGAAGCACAGAAATGTGAGATTATTTCAGTCAATAATAATGCGATCACTGCTTCCTTTCAGAAAGTAAACAGAAAGGATTTGCATATGTTTATCTCATTTTAAATATCTTTGTGATGTACTGAAGGAAGTCTTGAACTAATCTGATAGCACTGTAGAAAAAGCAAATTGAATGCTTCAGTTTCTATTGCTCTCAAGCTATGAATAAACTAATGCGTCCAGTAAGCTCACAAAAAATATTTTTTTTATCTGTTTTGAAACTGTCAAAATTTTGATAATTTAGCGAAAATTTTACTTAATATTTTGAATAATTAAAGTCTTAAAAAATTAAGTTGAATTTTTTTCGTGACGTTCTTTGAAAAATTTTATTGCATAAATTGCAAACTCTTTCAAGTAATATTTACTTCATTGCTAACTTCATTGTTTATGGGTAAGCTGCTAATGTTGAACTGGATATGTGTTCGGATCAGATTAATTAATGTTCATTTTCATGGCTAACAAACAGTCAAGAATAATCCTCATTAACTTCAGTATGTGGAAAAGTGATTTCATTAACATCTAGAATAACTTATGTCAGAAATACAATCTTGATTTGACCAAAGGAGCAGAAATGGAAAAGATTTTACAAGTGAAATATGACCGTGAATGGAAGATTTTTGGCTGTTTGTTTTATTTATATGCTAGGGATTTAGATAAATCACAGATAAATAATGCATTGGTTTTCGTTCAAGATTTCATACAAGAAAGCAGTTCTAATCTAGATAAAAGCTAAATAGTAGTATAGGCAGTATTCTTCATGATGTAAAATAAGTGCCAACTTCATGAGTACTTTCCTAATTTGTAAAGGTATATTTGTGCAAATTTATCTAAAATGTGTTATCTTTAATTCTTTTTTGATAACAAAACTTTTTAGCACTTGCATTCAAAGATACTTTTCATTAATATTTAATTATGTTGGGAAGAAAAATAAATGAAGTAATTATTTTTACTGCTTTATCTTTATCTCTACCAAAAATTCATGAGCACAATTAATCTCTGAAAAGTTAACTTTTGATTTACTACCTTTTAAACTCCACTGAAAATACTACTAGGCAGCTTTAGCCGAATATTTCTTTTGTATCATAAATCTTTTTTTGTAAATGAATCAATCAGCAATTTGTTAAACTTCCAAGGCAACTTCTAATAATTTTAACTTTAGTCAAACAAAAATCTTCAAAAAATAATTTCGACTTTTCTTTATAATCAAGATGAAATTAATGACTAGTACTATGAGCAACGATATGACTTACTGTGATTACTCTTGTTATTATTATTGTCATTATTAGTAGTAGTGTAGTAATATTAGTAGTGGTAGTATTGAAGTTATTAAAAGGTTATTTTTTTTAGGCAGTTCACAGCCTCCATCAATCGGAATGGACAATATTTATGAATTTGGCGCAAAGTTATTATTTTCTGCTGTAGAATGGGCCAAAAATATTCCGTTTTTTATTGAGCTCAATGATACTGATCAAGTCAGTATTCATAACTATAATCAGTATCAAGTTAAAAAATTGAATCTTGCATAAGTTTTTAGTTACTTTAGGATATTTGAAATACGGTGAGTAAATGGTTTTGAATATTCAGTAATTCAATTAGGGACAAAATTTCTTTTGGAAGGACAAGACAGTAATTAAATTTATACTAGCGAGTTACTGCCTATTTTCATAGTTACTACTTTATAAATTCTGTTATACTATTTAAGGGATTTAATTCTATCTGACTTGCTTCTTCCGATATAATTATTAAAATTCCAAAAATAGTTATGCGAAATATTTCTTTATTATATTTATTAAAGTTGTGGGAATTTTTTAGTTCATATTTATAAATGGCATGAAAGTAATAGTAAATACTACAGCTAACATTACTACGATCAAGTTGGGCTGAGTTATTTGTGATTAATGCGGCACAGTTTGGAATGCCTGTACACGTGGCTCCATTACTTGCAGCTTCAGGTCTTCACGCTTCTCCTCCGTTACCGCCTGAACAACTTGTGATATTCATGGATCGTATACGTATTTTTCAGGTTATTTTGTTTTTCATTTGTCTTGTTTCAGTATAAAAGTGAATAATTACCTGAATATTTGTAATCCAACTTCGAGTTTCACTAAAATTTTAATTTTTGACTTACAGAGTAACTTTTGTGGAATTAATGAAGTCCCCTAAAAAATTTTCAATTTAAGAGTCAAATTGAACGCTTGAAAGCACTGCAGATGGATCCAGCCGAATTTTGCTGTTTAAAAGCAACTATACTATTTAGTGTTGGTTAGCATTTTTGTGCTTCTACTCACTTTTCGTACTCTTTTTTATCTCATCTGAATTCCCTACAGAAATTCGAATTTCAAAGTATACAAAATTATTAGCTAACTGTATGTTTGGTTACTAATCAAACTGTTGCTAAATTTTGAAGTATTAATCAGCAGTATTATTACTGATAGTAATGAATAGAGTTAGCTAATAATTTTGGCTATCAAACAGATTTCATTTTTTCTTACCAAAAATAAAATTAAGTATAAAATATATAAATAAGGGAATATTGTGTATAAATACATGATATTGTGGCGTGATGAATGATATGCATGGAAGTGAGTGGAAGAATAGAGGGAGCGATTACTCCAATGTCAAGGGCAGAGAAAATACATGAAAGAGGGGTGAAAGGCCTTAAATTGGGATGTTGGGAGACGTGATCTCGTAAAATAGAGGCAAATAGGTCAGAAAAGTACCGATCAATCTTGTAGTAATACAAAAAGTGAGAAGGCATTTTCACCTCAGCCAAACTGACTGCAATAGAATGGAAAATTTGTGACGGAAGGAAAGATTAAGAGGATCATTTTCATAAAAGTAGGAATCACTTAACAGTACCTTCAGAATGACTGAATGAATAATAGGCAAATATTTGACGATTTATGAATTGTAATCGAATATAATCACTATTTGTGCAATTTTATTACCAGTGAAGTTTTATCATTACTGATCTGTGCAGTTTTTGATCGTTCGCTATGATAGTGATTGAGTAGTGGGAAATAAATTATGATTAATTAAGATGAAAAATTAACACTAATCATGTCAAGCGTAGTTAGCCATTAGGAGTAACAGTCAGTGTAGTTTATTTCTCAAGAAAGATCTGATTTTTTAGTTATGTTATAAAATCGGCGAAGTTTGATAAAAGGTATATTTTGTTTATATTATTTACAGTATTCAGAAAGGAACAAATTTGGTGGAAATAAGTAATGAATGAATGAAAAGAAGTAAATATTATGTAATGGCTGAGATAAAATAAAGTGATGGGAAGGATATTAATTATCATCACTACTACAGTTTCTTATGTCATTTTACAGCTGTTTTCAGTGATTAACACTGTCTATTCTTCTTTTCGTATATTTTTTGCTTAAATTTGTTGAGTATAATCACAATGGAACAGCAGCTGTGCTTGGGAATTGTGAGATGTTTTGTGTTAATTTATGATTGCAGTGGAAAGAATTACGAATCCAAGTTCAACTCCAAACTTTGTTAGCATTTGCTAGAAGATTTTCGGCTTCAATTTTGACACTAAGTAATCACATACACAACTTGTGAAACTTGAAAGTTATCAAAATTTTGCAAAAACTTTTGCTTCTCTCCTCAAATAAACAACTAAATAGGCTTCTATCGTAAGTTCAGGAAATGCCAGAATTTTGTTTGTTCAATTTAATTTTCGTTTTTTTTTCGGCTTGAACATTGGAATGTGTTGAAAAACAAAGAAGGGAAAGATTTTAGAATTCATGTAATATTCTCATAAATTATTGCTGCAATGCTCGTTTGACAAGTTTTGAACAAAAAAAATGGTACGTATTTCGTGAATTTTTTGAACACAAATTGTAAATCCACACTTTTGAGCTGATTGAGGGATTAAGAAATGTCAAAGTTCATTCCGAAAGTATGATAATGAGAGTTTGAATGTTAAAAGAGTTGTAAGACAAAATCTGCTTTCACTGAAGTCAAGTTTGTTCAGAAATTTACAAAGTTTTAACAAAGTAATCTCGATTTGAAGACGAGTAACAAGATATGTTGTAAAGCGTAACGTTAGGTAGTGGAATATTTGTTGTGCGAAAATATTTCAAAAATTGATTATAACTCTACTGGAAATAATTACAGTATACATTTAAAAAAAATCAATGTTAGTTATATTAACTATCGAGTTATAAATTTAAATAAAAATTTTTCATTTAAGTTTAAAAAATGTTGATAGAATAGAAAATTTATTATTTTAAAAACAAATATGTCTTGAATATATGTAAAATTTTTGTAGATTGTTGTCGGCTAAATGACGTTTTACGTGTAGAAACAGTGCAAGAAAAGATTCAACTGGCATTGGAGGAATATTGTCGAACGCAAAAGCAACTTCAGGTTTATTTTTTATTTTCTTGAAAGAGTAAGCAATAAATTATGTTTAGAGACAAATAAGCTTATTTGAGTAATAATATTAGTTAAGCTTAAGAATCAACTGTTGATGAAATGAAACTGATTAATTTGCCGTGTACTATCTTGCTGATGATTTGATGAACCCAAAAATGGATTCATGCTTATTTTTCATGAATAAAACTATTTAACATTGGTAAAGTTATCAGCAAGATAGTACACGGTTCATCAAATTATTTTATATCTTCTATGTCTATATTTATAACGTGTTTATTTTTAAAAATTTTTTGTATTCAAATTGGGGGTAATGAAAAGTCAGACGAGAAGTTAATGCAACACTAATTGTAAAACTTTAAGTACTAAAAATAAATGTATTTTTAGGTTGGACGTTTTGGCCGTTTATTACTGCGATTGCCAAGCCTAAAAGTGATTAGTGCATCTGTGATCGAGCAATTATTCTTTGTGAAGTTAGTGGGTGAGACTCCGATTGAATTTCTTCTCAGGGACATGCTTTCAGCCCAAAGTGATAACGTTATCAAGCCATTCGCTTGGCCTTATCAGTTAAGATCTTGAGATTAAGCTGCGATTCGTTACTTTATTACTTATTTGATTGCATTTTATTAATGTGGTTCTCTAAGTTAAACTGCAAAAACTTGCCATCTTTTCAGCATTAGGTCTTACTATTTTTATACTTTCTATGTCTATATTTATAAACGTGTTTATTCATCTTTTGATGTTGATTTATTTATTTATCTTTATTTGGTGTATTTTATTTGAAGATTAAAATGATCAGTTGACTGATTCAAAAAACTATTTTACGGGTGGGTGAAGAGTTGATTTGTTCGTTTCCGATTTAATACGATTTGGGCAAAAGGATCAGTAGATGAAATATCAATAATTGAATAGCGCAAAATCATTATTAATAATTCCTATCTATTAATAATGATTTTTTTCTCCGTAGTTGAAATTGTTCATTGGTTTAAATCATTGCTTATTTTGTTACGTTCGCCACTGAAATTAATTGTACTCAGCCATTTCCTTATGTGATAACACCGCGTGACATATTTTCTTTCCGGTTCAATTTCAGTTTCATTATGTGTTGGATATTTTTTATTTGCATTATACTCTTAGAGCCAAAGTTCGGTTTGTTTCCACGTTAGACCTTTGTCTTCTGCATTGAATTTTTGAATTGTGCAATATTTGTGTTTTTATTTCTTTAAGTTATGATTTTATACATATGATTGTTTTGAACGCAAAATAGAACATTTCTGAAAAAAGTGGGTTGAAGTATGTTTGATCTGAGCTGAAAATTTACACTTGTTGATTTTTTCCACTTTCTTCCTTAAATGTATCTAAAACTAATCCTTATCCTTGAAGTACTTGCAACAGATTCAGAAGCTTGTACTCACGCATTAGCAAAGAAATGCACTCTGCTCATTTCCTTCCTTACATTGTATTAAAGTTCCATTAGCTACCATTTGTTTCTAAAAAGTGTGAAAATATGTTATATGTTATGTTGCAAAATAAAAGATTCCGGTAGTGTGTTGAGCAAAAATTTTTCTGATATCATAGTTTTGAAGTTGAGATTTAAATGAATCTTACTGAAATGGCTCCAAAGGACTAGTTCTGGGAATGCACTGTAGCATAAGAAATTAAGGAAATCTCGGGCAAAAGAGAGAGCTTGAGGTATTCCTAAAGTACTCGTTACCGTAAGAAATGGGAAGTGAAGAAAAATGGCTTAGGTGTGTAAACAGGTATGATACGAGATAGCAGTGAAAAAGAAGCAATCAAGCTATCTCAAGGCAATTTCCCCGTCCACCTTAGGACTAAAGATTTCATTCATAGAGTAATAGTTACATATGACCTTTGTAGAGGTTACGGAGGTCAGGTAACGACAAATGTAAGTGATTTATCAAAAGTGGGCAAAGTCATAATGATAAGGGTATTGCAAAGCGTTCGTTATTCAAATTAGAATTCTTGGAAGTGCCTTAAGCTTAAGAGATATTTTTCATTCGCATACTGCTTGTCACGCAAGAGCAAAGGAGCGAAATTCATCGGTGAGGTATAGCGAGTATTCAGCGAGTCTTTCTACCTCAATTCTGAGCACATAGAAATAAAACAGTTTTCTTCTTGTGGCGAAATGATTAAATCGAGGAAGTTTAATCCAAAGTTTGTATTGTATTCAATTACAAAAGTAACCAGTTAGCCTGGCAAAGTTGCCAGAAACTGCGCTGCGCAGATCTGATCAAATGAAAAAGCTTTGAAGCACTGAAATAAATAAAATTTAAATTAAAACTATGGAAGTACTTAAACTTTGCTCAAAAAGTACTATTTAGAAATTAATTCCAACTCTTACTTTGACTTAAGTTTGTAAAAATAAAGTTCAGTAGCAGATTTTTGTCGTAAATCAGTTAAAAGTAGTTATAATTATTAGATGTTCATCTCAGTACTGAATTAATTGCAAGCATGTTTGTTTGTTTGCGCAGTTCATTGCATTCCCTCAACGCAATTAATCTCATCACTACAAACAATTACTGCTGAATTAAGATCGGTCATTTTGAATATTTCTCTGACCACACTGTCCAACCAGTCAATAACTGGGTGAATTACAAATATCTACCTCAAGTAGTCAATAACTTATGAATTATAAGTACGTATCATTTGCGTGACATTTTATTTGTACTTAGAAGTTAGAAAAGACTTGATATAAAGCTCGCCTTGACCTCAATTTATTTGTCAATTTATTGCCAGTTTTGTTAATAATAATAATATATCGATGCGTGGCATGAAGAGGTGTTCTCTCAATTCAACAAATAACACAAATAAATAAATTCATATCCTTCTGCTTTAGGCAAATATTTGTACAACATAAAGTTCATTCCGCCTTATCAATGTTTGAAATTAACAAATGCTTAGGACTGCTTGTCAAATTACTTATCAACTTTTAAAATCCTATCACAAGTCGATAGATAAGATATTCATCACTCAAAAATAATGCAAAAATTGTTAAGATGAAATTTTGTTTGCGTTACTATTTGTGATTATTTTAATATCAACAATTAATGTTGCACAAATTTGCATAAGCAGAAAGTACACGTAGCGTAAATTGTATACATTTTTGTTTTACTTGTAATTATCACTAATTAATGATAATGCTTAACATTATTAATAAAGTAATGAATATGCAAGTCATTTACTGGATTATCGTTATGCTTCGGATAAAAGTGTACAACTATGACAAAAATGACATCAGATATAATAAACAAAAGGGCAAAGGTCAAAAAGGTCAATCAATTAAGAGTAAACGATAAATAATTTGTACCAAAAGTGATAAATAAAGTTTTGGATTTGTGTACTGACAGAAAAGAAAAAAATTGCAAGCATATCAATGTGAAGAAAGGCAAGGCGAGGCGAGGCGAGGCGAGGCAATGCAGGCAGTGACAAGGCATTCGATTCATTCATCTCTCTTGCCATTTTAGAAGAATGCAAGCGAAGAGCATTTTACTTGTGTACTTGCCTGGCGGTAGTGCTCCAGTGCTCAGATTGTGGCCCTTTTTTATCTCTCTCAATTCAGATTCGAATTTCACTTTGAGTAATTCATTCTGTCGATTTCAAGTGCTAATAATACTTTCTCCGCTTTGTTTTTATTTTCAATGGACTGCAGTCTCAATTTGTGTACAATTTCGAATTATTTGATTTCTATCTCGATTAAGTCCTTTTTTGAAGCAGTACTGTACTTACTTCTATAAATCCCTTTTTATAAATATCAGTCTTTTCTTTTACTCATTATTTAATTAAAGTTTTTTCTTCTTTACATCAAAAATTTTTACAATTCCTTCCATTTAAATATATTAAAATATATTGATTCATAGTAACATTTTAGAGCCTCTTTACACACTATCAGTTTTTTTATCCACTGAATTTTAAATACATTCCGCGCCATTTTCAGTCCTCGCTACATATCACTTTCGTACTTTACATTGATATTGTATTTAACTGGAAGCCATGTATTGAATAATTCTCTACCCGAGTTCTAAATTGCAATTATAGATGCTACTTTGATCAGAATTTACTTTAATGTACTGAAATAGAAAGACTGATTGCAGCAATAGGGTGAGCCATTTTAATTTATTCAGATTCCACTCTCGTATATTGTAGAATGCTTCTCATATTGTATAATTTTAGCATTGTTTGTTACAATTACATGTGCTCTCATATTAAAAGTATTGTGCGAAAAGCAACTCATTTCAGTTTAAATTAATTTACTTGGCTCAAACATTTTGCTTGTTATTAATGAAGAAATTTGACATTTGACCTTTAAGTAATAACTTTTATATTTACATTATTATTTATTTGCTAGCTACATAACGATTTATGAATTAGTTAGAAAACAGAACATTATGTATAAATATAAGTTTATATAGTATATAGTTTTAAAGTTTTTGTATGCATTATTACTGTTCGTTTTGTACCATTTCGTACAATAATATTGTTCAGTTTTCACAAAATTTCTCGCACTTCCGCTATGGTTATTTGTTGATTGATTTCGTGACTTTTATCTGTTATTTCAATTTATTTATCAGACATTTTTTGCATAATTATACGTCCAATTTGTCGATAATTTGTTAATTTGATTAATTAGTTAGTGGTTTTTGTTAGGTGTTTGCCCTAAAATTAATTTTTATCTGAACTAACCAACCCAAAAATCAGGTCCGTTAATGATTATTCTATCTTTATTTTGCATTGCATTTTGATAAAAAATTATCTGATACTGGAATTTGACCTAATTTGAAGAAGTTAATGAAGAATTAACTTTCAAGACTTTCCACCGAATAACGTTAAACTGATAAATTTTATTCTAAACGATAATACAGCTATCACTGAAAAATATTACCCAAAATGATAGTAGTTTTCGTGAGAATGAAAATTCTTTTGTTTAAATAAAAAATTACTCATTAATTAACTCAAAGCGTTCATGAAAATTTTCTAATTATTTGCTACTCGTGGTCATTATTTTTTACTTCTCTCATTTGTTTAGAAAAACAAAATTATGACGGATCGTGCTGTTAAGTCTGGTTTGGCTTTGGAGGCTCAGCGTAAAGTACACGGAAAATATGATAGTATATTAGCTGGTCAATTACTTCAATGGATTGCGCATCTTACTGCAAAAGATTTCTCTACTGAAGGCGAAGTGAAAAATTTCTTGGAAGTTTTAAAAGACGGGACCGTATTATGCAAGTAAGCATTAAAAAATAATTTCATATTTCACTGATTTCACAGATGCAAACAAGCAGTCAGTTTTAAGTCCTTACATAATTAAGTTAGTATGTATCATAAGTGATTGTAGTATCTTACGTGATTTGCGATAGATGATTGCAGCATCTTTAGATTTCAACAACGGAATATAAGTGATGCAATTATCTTTGAAATGTTTGTTGATAAACTGTAAGATAGCGGCCAGTTTCTGCCGATATTCTAGTACCTTACGTGATCACATTTCGAAGTTTCTTAAAATTATTATGCGAAGTGCACAGTAAGTCTGATTCTTGTAGTCTATAATGTTGGCAATTATTGTTGTGATATTTATGTATTTTAGCCTTGCGAATGCATTATCTGCGGGCTCAGTGAGAAAAATGAATAATAGCTCTATGGCTTTTAAGCAGATGGAAAATATTTCATTCTTTTTATCATTTGCCGAGAAATATATCGCCAAATCAGAGCTCTTCCAAACAGTTGATTTATTCGAGGGTCAAGATCCGAATGCTGTTGTGATTTGTCTTTCATCATTGGCGAGAAAAGCTGAAGAGCTGTTTGGAAAACCTGGATTGGGCCCCAAAGTAAGTATAAGTTATTTGTGAATGAACTTTGAACTTGATAATTTAAACCCATTTCAAGGACTGAAAAAGAATATGGTCACGAAATGGCATGATTTATGGATAAATGAAATTTCAGTGGCTAAAATTTCAAATCTTTTCACCAGTTTATTATGCTACCATCTGTGCAAGCTAATTAAGACTGCACATATTTTTTCATCAACAAAATGAATGAAAAGTAATTGAGTGAAAGATTTTTCAAGTTGATACAAGAAAGTATTAATGTTTTAAGGAATGACTTAACTCTATTGTTCCATCTTTTTAGAGTAAGAGAAAATGAATATCAGTCATATTCATTGCTTCAATTCAAATAATTATTATTGATGCGATTGACATTATTAAAATATTTTATGTATTAAACTTTGTGATTAAATATAGAATCTAATATGAAGACAGAATCTAAATATAATGCAAAGTTATACTTTGATTAGATAGATAGATGTATGCTGGTGTAGCTAGTTATTAATAATCACTTTTCGGGCGTTGCAGCATTCCAAATAAATGAAATATTCGTGTATTTTATTATCGAAGTTTATTTCTGTAAATATTTAACAAATTAATCATGAAAACTGATGAATATTTTGTTATAAAATAACGAATATAAACTGAATATTTTAGTGTTCAGTACCATAAAAATATACGCTATTAAGAAGTGTTGTAAAACTGTAAAACTAGGAAGTGCATAAGATAAACACGGAACTTGTCTCACGCTTTCAACTAATAACATGATCAAACTGATAAAAATTTGTGACTAATAAAGTTTGTGATATTTTGGGGGACAGAATGATTTTTCTATGTCATATTGATATTTCAAAAAATCAAACTTAATAATTACCAGCATCTGCTTAAATTAATAGCGAAATGATTTGAACTAGAAATTTTCACCTAAAAATTCATTATGCTAATTTTATTTAATTTGTATCGTGATAAACATTTCAAGTTGCAGTGTAATTAATTGTAAAACTTGAGCATCACAGATTGACTGGCTCTTTTAAATCTTCAGTTCCAGAAGACTTTAAGTTTTTATGAGTTTGTGAGATCTGATGATAAAAAACATTTTCTGAAATTTATTTTGTAAGTTATATAAAAACAGAAAGACAGCAACTTTATTGGAATCAATATAGGAAGCGTTCTTAGTGATTAACATCTTTAAGTGAAAATTGTAATTCGAAAATGCTTGCAATTTTTTACAGGAAGCAAAAGGTGAAAAACGTGAATGGTCCGAAGAGAAACTCCGTGCAGGTGAAACAATTATTGGACTTCAGATGGGTACGAATAAAGGTGCAAATGCCTCTGGTATTAATATGGGTAATACTCGTCATATGTAGACTTTTATTGTATGTAAAGTTGATTTTCATGAAAAACAAATTATAAAAAAAGTTTGCTGCGTGTCTTCTTTCGTTTTTCTGTTATGATTCTTTGCTGCTTTATTTTTTTGCAACTTTTGCAGCTAACTCTTTTAATTAGCTTCTTGGGTACTGACAGAATTCATGTCAAGTTATGTGCATGTTGTAACGTCTTACACTGCGTAAATTTCTTGTTACTTGCCTTTCAAACTTGAAAATTTGACTTTCTTGACTGTAATAAAGTATAGTATTACGTTGGAGAAGATAGAAGCAGTTCTTTCAATAGTAGTTCCTACTTTTTATAATCATTTCGATCCTCTTTCGTATGGTAGACTGGATTTGCAGCTTATCAACCTAAATTATTATTGCATGTATTCCTTATTTGTATATTTTAATCCGTGCATACTTTCCTGAAATAAAATGCCTTTTATTTGTAATGAAGAACTGAGTATACTTACTGAAATTATTCTCTAATTTGAATAAAATTCCTTTATCAACTTGGTCTACTAATTGTTCCCGTCACACCATCACATAATTTGTGTGTACTGAGATGATAATTTTTCACATAAACTCATTTTAATTCCGGCCGCAATCTTACTTGGTTGACACGCTGATATGTTCTCTCTCTGACGTCGTCAGTTTGTTGGATTGGCGTATTAGTTTTCCGGGTCCGTGCTGGGTATGAATGCTGGACATTGTGTAAGCTAGTGGGGACTAGTGTTTGTTGTATATATTTAATCTTGGGAAGTATGCAGAGGACATAAAATCGTAAATTAACAAGGAGATCATCTATTAACGATATTTGGAGGGCAAAATTTCAGGATACAGCAATTAGTCCCTTATGTCATGGCTTACTAAAGTTGCTGGTCGTGCTGAACAGCTACTGAACCAAATTGATCAGAATGCTGCTGTGGTATATTTCTGAACTTATGAGTTTAGCATTCAGTAGTATAAGTTTTTTATTTTGCTTATGCTACTTTTAAACTTCACTTGCGTCATATTATTATTTCAAACAGTATATAAATTGGTGCAAAAAGCTGTAATAGATTAACAAAGTAAATATTAAATTGAGATATGAAAACTTTGTGAAATAGTATCGAGGTGAAGCGTGTTTTATGAGAGATAATGTGATAATAAATAAATATTTACTTGGTGTAAAGTGTCAAATTTTTAGGCTTTGAAGAATAATAGCAAAAAGGGCTCAGGTAGAAGTGATTCAGCTGTGAGTCTGATTGATGACGAAAAGCAAGAATTGCTTAAGCCTGACAAACCTCGATCGGAAGTTATAGAAACATTAGCAAAGCCGGACGCAAGGTCTATCAAATCATGGAGAATAAATAAAAAAATAATGAATGTTCAAAAATAATGTCTGATGCTTGTCTTTACCGGAATGATAATTTTCGATTTCTCTGTCAGAAGATCTATTAATGCAGAATGGTAAAAATTATTAGTACAACAAATGAGTTCAATATTATTCATATGTCAGAATTACAATTGTGCTTGAGAATACCATTTCTTGACTTGTCTAATTAATACATATTATAAAATCATATGCATATTAAGGCGATCTCTTAGATCTCTTCACAACCATTAAAATATGATTTAGTAATATATTAGTTTTTTGTAGTGTTTTTAGAATTACCTGATATTAACTGTAAAAGAAAAAGACTAGTCGAAATAAAAAGGGGTTGTAATATATATAAAGAGAATACCAATCAATCAAGTAAAGATTTATTAACTTTGGATCTCTCAATGCTGATTAAAAAGTATGTTTGGAATCATTTCTGCCATTCTGCAGTAGCAGGCTTCTTGATAATGACGGAGAAATTAAAAATTGTCATTTTGGTCATTCCGTTATAGTTTAAGCTTTCAGATCAAGTCATACTCATTCAGTTTCAAGCCGTGTTCGTGGTCAAAGAGATGAAGACCTTATTGCTTATTTGAATGATTCAAACGGGCAAACATCAAGTCGTTGCTCTTCTGCAGCAAGTTGTTTTTCTGCACCAAATCCTCAAGGTTCAAGTTAGTATTTAGAAATGGTTTGACTTTCACACTTTCTCAACTTTGTGATAAGTTGAGTGGTATTTGACATCTTTATATTGCCAAAAAAATCTGGATAATTAAGTGCTTGAAAATTTAAAACTTTGTGAACACTTTCAATTCAAGTTGGAAAATTTTTTATGAAGGACTTATGTAAAATAACTCCTGGTTTCTCACCATTGTGTCTTAAAGGGTTTGTGCTTTATTTCAGATGCCTTTGTACCAAGATCTGAATCATTCGCAACCAGTGAAGGTTTAAGAGCTCAGCACTTAGATACAATAAAATGTCTGCATATGAAAGAAAGCCAGATTGCCGTAATGTGTGTGCGATTACAGGTTAATTTTTAATATAGTGAAGGTGATTTGGATTTCTTTTTAATAATAGGTTTTGTTTATATTTGAAAGCTTATTTTCTAAAATTTAATTTTATTAATTCGTTTTAGGAAGCAGAAGAAGCGAATATTAAAAAAGATGCTCAGATAGCCGAGCTTGATAGAGAAATTAAAATGTCGAAAAAATTAGATGCCGGGAATGGAAATATAGGTGATGAGCAGTTCTCTAAATTAAAGAAATTACAACGTGAGCGTGACAGAGAAAAAGAAGAATTTGAGAAACGTGAACAAGAATATGTTAGACGTTTGGAATCAGCTAATAACGAAAATTCGACGATTAAAAAAGAGTTACAAGAACTGAGGACAAAAATTTTGCAGATGGAAATGAATGAGCGAAGTTTAACAGAAGAGGTGAACTTTCCCCATTACTTTTTCCTAACTGATAAGTTGTGAAAAATCTTGTTCTTTTAGATAAGACTCGCAAAGTACAACCTTGAAGCAAACAAACATGAATTCGACGAATACAAACAAAGAGCTCAAAAGATTCTTTCTGCGAAGGAAAATCTTCTAACTTCATTAAGAGAGGTATTTTTTGGGTTCAGTTTTTGAACATTTTTCTTTAACAATTTTCATTGGCTTAAAGAATCTTCAAGCATCTCGATATATTTTGAACATAGTTAAAGGAGATATAAGATTTAATTGATTCTGAAAATTAAGTTATGTAATGTTCAGCACTTTAAATTAAGTGGTATATGGATCATATTGGTGAAAAGTATCATGATGGTTACAGTTCCATTTTTGTAACATTCATTCTAGCTTGTTTTTATATTAGTAAAGTGCATATTTGTTTGTCTTGCGTTGGAATTAAATGGAAAATATTTATAGAATTCTCTAACTGGATCAGATATATCAGGAAATAATATCGAAATCGAAGAATTAAGGTGTGAACGAGATTTATTGAAAGAAGATCTTCAGCAATCGCAGTTTGTTATTTATAATCTAAAAGGGGATATCCAGGTAATTCATTGCACTGACTTCTTGAACAGTAAAATAATGAAGAAAAATTTGACAGTTGTTCGCTAGACTTCAAACTCTTTGACTCCATTTATTCTTTTTTTAGCCAGTATTATTTAAAATCATTGGCAAATTATCTCCTAATTTTCAATATTGAGTGGAGTTTCTCTTTAGTGCACTTATTATAATAACTTTCTGCATTACACTATGTGTTTTTTTGCAATTTTATGTTTACATGGAAGCCTTTGGCGCCATGTAATTACTTCTTTTCTGCTCAGTGTATCTGCTTGATATATTCGTAAATTTCGCAGCGCAAATACGCGATATTTTGGTTAATAATTCCAATATTCAAAAAACTTCTTGTGATAAAATTATTTCATAGGAAATGGAAAATAGATTACGAGATGAACAACGATCATCTGGAGCTCAAAGAGAAAATCTTACAAAGGAGATGCATCATCACTTATCACAGGCAAATCATTACCGAGAACAGATGGAACGGTCTCAATTGGTAGATGCTTACTTCTTTTCTAATTTAATTGTTTGACAGATAGTATTTCGCAGGTATTGTATTTTTTTCAATTTATTAAAAATTTTTGAGCAATTGTTTACATGTACATGCAATATCTAGTGTAAACGGAGCAGAGATATTCGTAATCTAAATATTCGCACGCATGATTTTTTTTAAAGTAAGACTTAGAATTTTATTCGTTCGAAATCTTAAGCCAAATTATATTGCTTACAGGAATATGAATTTCTTCAAGCTGAAATGCGCAGGCAAGAAGAAGCAGTCGAAAGGAAGCTTGCAGAGAAAGATGTGGAAATGGCAAAATTGATGGAGGAGAAAAAAACGAGTAGGCGATATGAAGTTGGCGAAATGGAGCAAAAAATTTCTCTCCTTAGCGAAAAGCTGATTGCAAAGCAAACGGCTATTGAAAGACTTGAAAGCGAAAAACGAGCGCTTGAGTTACGGCTTGAACGATCTGAGGTTCATTTTTTTCCAAAAAGTTTATTTATAAGAGATATCAAGCTTTACTTGGTCGAGAGAAAGAACATTCTTGGTCTCTAATTATAAAAAGCTATAGTAATGATAGCAAAAAAATTAGAATTATTGTCTAAACAGTCGTTTGATTTGGTGAAAAAAGTCAATAACTAGTGTACTTTGCCTAACTTTTCAGCGAGCGTATAAGAATGCAGAAGCTGCTGCAGTAAAATCTGTTGCCGTTGATATGCGAGAAAATGTATATGACCAAAATTCTTCCTTATTTATGCTTTCTTCTTCGGATAATCTGCCAGTTCACTTTTCCAAACTTGTATTCAGCATTTTTGACCATCTAGGGTAAATATTAAGTCTTTTCAAAAATTTTCAATAACTTTTCAGATTTTTCAAACGTTTTAAGTGTATCATACTTGAACTAGAAAAAAATTTTAAACTTTCAATCTGTAGATAAAGAAATATTTTAACTCTGATGAATACTTCAAAGTAATTTTTACAAAATTCCTTTTATAGGTTACGCATCGCGGTATTCATGCGAAGTCCAGTGTTTCGTTTCTTTTTCTTGATGTATTGTTTATTATTACATACATGGGTATTTTTCATTCTTTTCACTTATAGTCCTGAAGTACATCCTCTTTAATATTAGTATTGCAAAACTTGTTTGGTAAGTTCAAATCTTTTAATAATAATTCTTTTTTACTGACTCTTAAAAGATTCCTTTTATTTGGTACGAGGAGCATTCAAAAAAACATTTAATCCATATGCTGTAAAAAGTTCTCGTTTGGTTGTTACTTATCACTCAGTCATGCGTTCAATAATCCGTATTAAGTGGACAAATGTTTTTTCCTCTCCTTATGTACATATAGATATACTTGACGTCTGCTGATGGAAAATCAACTTGATAAATTGATTTCGTTTTTGACAAAATACTTCAACTTATATATCTTTTCAAATAAATTATGCTCATTGTGCTGCACCGCTTTAATTATGGAAACAGTTACAATCTCTGTAATCATGCTTTACTCTGGTTTTTCTTAAAGATTTGGATTGCATAATTTGAGTTGGAAAGGAACTTTAGTTCTTTTGTTATGAAGTCTGTGTTCATATAATTTGCTTATAATGTCACTCATTGGTGCATCGTTGATAAGTTTGATGGCGTTTTATATGTGATAACAGTTCCTAGAAAATGACATCTGTGGCAGAAATACCTCAATCCTTGCGTCCAATTGCTCATTATGTGAAAATTGGTGCCGAAAATGCTAGTTATGATCCGATTGTTCATTATTGGTGTGAGTTTTAGATCTAGTTGTTTTTATTTCGTCTGGCTTAACATGTGGCATGAAGACTTGCCTGAAAATTTGATCTATTACTTATCATTGATTTGTTGTAATATCGAGCAGACGTTCATATTCTTGCTTGTAGGCTTTTACTATGCAGTACAGACCGGAATGAACATGGACAAAGAGTCTCCGGAAGCTCTAAAATATTTGACTTCGTTACTTACAGTACTGGAAGATGTAAGTACTTTTAAACATTTTTCAAGTTGGCAGGAATTTCGTGAAGTATTTCCATATTAACAGATGAAGAAAAAGTTGAAAGGACAAGATGCGCTGACACAAGACATGGTAGCTCAAGCTCATGTTGAAAATTTTGCTTTGAAATTGTTCGAGTATGCTGATAAGAACGATCGTCAGTCAAATTTTACGAAGTAAATTTTCATGGATTAGAAATAAACGCTGAAAACTTCTGAACTTACAGCTTCTGTTCAAAAAATTAATTCTCATGTTTGTAGTAGTGTAGAGTACTTATATATGAAACTTATTCACGCTAATTTATAGAAAAAAAGATGCCATATACTAGTTACATGTAATTTTAAAAAAGCAGCCAGCAACCTGATCAGTTAACTGAAGAACAGTTTATTTCCTTTTTAGCTCGTAAAAAGGTTTCTAACGTTGTTCTGTTCAAATAGTATCATTTTATTCTTGGGTTTGTTTTCGGTTTTCAGGGGCGTAATAAAAGCCTTTTATATGGCTGGACATTTAATTGATGTTTTAACTCTTTTTGGACAGCTTGACGATAATCTTGTGGCTACCAGGAAATATGCAAAGTGGAAGGTCACAATATTATTTTGTTTAGTTGTTGTTATCGTTGGTTACATATGATTTACTTTTGTTTAAAATTGCTGTCATTATTTATCATTCGTATGCTTAAATTCATTTTCGTATTCATTTAATATAGTTTTTTAGGCTGCTTATTTGCACAACTGCTTAAAAAACGGCGAGACTCCGAAGCCAGGATCTACAAGCAATCAAGAAGTTGATCCTGAAGATCTCAACTCTAAAATTCGACAGAGTATAGATTTTAATGTAGTTTACTGGTCTCGTTGCTTAAAATTCCAACTTGCTACACTTGTTCGTATTTAAAACTATGAATTATCGAACGCCTTTTTTATTTTCAGGCTCTGATTCAGGAGAAAAGTTTTCACAAAGTGTGGATGAGTCCATGCAGCCACATTTTCTCTCTTCAAGTGGTGCTACGGATTTTCGCACTGCATCGGGAGAAAACCCACAAAAACCCTTTGTTCCTCCCCGAGTATTTCCGGAAATACTACCAGAAACAGGTGTAACATCAGAAATCGGTAAAAGCAATTCACTACAACCAGATGCATCTCATAACGGTGGTAGTGAAGCATTAACTATAACTGATTATCTAGAAGCACAGAAGTATGCAAAATATGCTGTAAGTGCTTTAAGTTATGAAGATTCTAAGACAGCAATTGAAAGTATGATGAAAGCACTATCAATTTTGAAGAAGTAAATATGTTATGTTAAAAATTCAGTTTGTAATTATTTATTTTCGGTATATTATCACATATAATGATATTCTATATTGCAGTTCTTCATTTGTATTGACTCTTAGGCTTATTATTTCCCTTTCCATTCTTACTGTATATTCAATTCAATTACTGATTCTTTTTTGCAAAAAAATTCAATTTTCTTTGCATAAAGTTCGATGTAATTTTTTGTTTTGGTTTGATCAAATTTCCTCTTTTAAAATTGTATGTTATAGTCTTGAAATACTTAAAAAATAATAAATTTTGTTGATAAATATTGGAAATAAAAAGAATTTTTATATGTATAGTATGCTTTGTATTCAAATGTGTTTAAAACTCGTTTTATTGAATCCAATTTATTAGCTGCATTTTAATTTAGTGATCATATTATCTGGTTTCGTTACTACCTGATAGTAAAGTTTCCCTAAGCATTCCCTGTTCTGATAAAATATGAAATGCTCGAGTTTTAGCACCTTTATTTTTCATTACAATTTAATTGCTTTATTTGAGCTGTCTATAGTGTGTTTTATCAGCAGTTTTATAATAAAAGTTTTGGTGTTTATTAAATATTTTTTCGCTACATTTATTTTGTTATTATCAATCGTTCTTGAATAAATATCCTTGTTTTTCATTTATTATCAGTTCATATATATGTAAACAAAAATATTAAGCGACGCAGTTCAGGATTCGTTTCTATTCAAGGTTGTTTTGTGCCTCGAAAAGAATTTCCTTGAAATGGTTTTTTCAAGGAAGTTCTTGGAGCAAAGCATTGCAAAGTTCATTAACAATTTCATATTAATTCCTGTCGTGTTTCAATATATTGTATAATCTTTCAGCAACATTTTAGAAATAGTTTATTGCAGATTACACTGACAGCAAGGTGAATGATGGAAAACAAGAAAAAAGCTAAAGCGAGACGGGAGAATTATTCACCTCTAGAGTGTGTTACATATTTAAAAATTTATTGTTCTAAAAGTTAAAAATCTATTGCTTAATCCAGTTCTCATCAACTTCAGTAATGTTTGCAGTGCAATAAGTCTAATCATTGGCTTTTATTTCTAGAACAAAGGAATGTTCAAAAAAAACCGTATTTGGTAAGAAGTCAAAAAGGAAAAAAAAGAAGCAAGAAGACAGTGCTGGAGTAGTACCTGCCGTATCCGCATTTACTGGTTCAATTCATTAGTTTATAATAATTGTGCTTTAGAGTTGTATTTTTTTTCAAAGGTTCTTGTGGGTTTTTTACAGAAGTTGTTATAGACATTTGTAAGGTATGATGCTTGCATTTGACGTTTGGAGTAAATTAAGTTTTTTTTTTTTGAATCTAGGAGAATATGGGATTTTCGGTGTTCCGCTTTCGTTAGCAGTTCTGAGAATGGGTTGTCATGACCATATTCCATTACCAGTTATTGTTAGACAGTGTATCGACTACATCAATGAAAAAGGTTTTTTTGTGAATAATATTTAAGATTGATCAGAAATATTATTTTGATCAGGAATCCTATTTTATCACATTTAGTTAATTTTATTACATAATCAACCTCTGTGGGTGGTCAAATATAATAAAAGATTATATTATATATGAAAAATTCTTTATTGTCTTTATTCACATCGAAAGTAACTCTAGAAAATTATTCATGTCAAGTAGCAATTATGGGCAATTGATGGTTGAGGGTTATGTGTGGAGGGAATCCATCGCATTTCTGCACCTAAAGGAAATTTGGATAGACTTGAAGACGCAGTTAATAGGCGCAAATTCATTGTACTGGAAGATGTTCATGATGCGTCAGGATTGCTAAAGAGATTTTTGCGTCAACTTCCAGAACATATTCTCACAAATGAAAAACGTGCGATGTTCGAAAAAATTGCTGGAAGTTTGTCGTTAATTTGATATCATCTTCATAATTTTTTAGTTTCTATTTTACGATGTGCAGCGCGGTGGGAAGCGGAATGAGCATCAATGAGTTTTCAGTGAACTAGCATGAAGCTATACCTTCCTCACAAGTAAAAAGCGTGGAGTATTTATTTTTTTATCGCTTGAAGTAGTATAGTATTGTGTTGGAGGAAAAATCTGATATTTTCCATTTTAGATTGTCCTTGTGGAACATTGTCACCGTGTCACTGCTTGGTAGCGGATATGCTAAAAGCACGATTAAGTACACTCCCTGCTGAAAATTATATGTTGTTAGCTTATGTCTTCATACATGCACAGATGATTTTGCAAAATAGTGATAAAAACAAGATGGGCTTGGCCGCTCTTGGATTAATTTTACAAGCTTCTATGAATATTTCACAGTCCCTTGTACGAATATTTCTACTCAATGCATCCGACTTCGTTCGTATGAATTATCATTCACCATCTGTAAGTCATTAAAAGATAATGAGAATTTATGCTCGAAAGTTCTATAACATGATTGCATTGTTAATTCATTAGAATGAATTAAGTAGTCAAAGTATTCTTCATAGTAAGTACCTTGATTCTTGTTTTTGAATTAACGTTTTTAATATATTTCAATATATGGTTATTTAAGTAAATGTAAGAAATTTTCTGTGGCATGTTTCAGATGGTGTATTTATTCAGTGATGTACAGATCAAACGGTAAGTGGTTTAATTTTTAAAATATTTGTATCAGTCGGTTCTCACGATTTTGGAATGCATGTGCATCCTGCTGTTACTTATTGATCTGAAATATAATACTTTCATTCCGTTATATAATGATCTACAAATATCTGAAATGTCTTATACCAATTCTTTTGTTCATTACATTCAAATTCACTCCATTTCATCATTCTCCTTCTAGTTTTTATGATTTAGTTTCAAGATTTTTGCATAATAAACTGTCATGCATTCAGTTCATAATAAATTCGTTATTCATTCAAAATCAAAAATTGTACTTACCTTTGTTCATCCATTTCAAAATTATTTTGTTTATTTGCACTATCCTTTTTTCGCCTCTGCAAACGTTCTGCACTATTGATTAATGCAAGCTTTTCATAGAAGCTAACGTGATTAAAGTGTGGTAAGTTGACTTTGTAAGCATTTAGTTGAGTGTGTCGAATGTAAGAATTACAAATATGATATTTGGATATCTCAAATAAATTTAGTATGCACAACTAAATTTGGCATAAATTTCTTTCTTTTTCTTGCTGTGAGATTTGCATAAATTCAGATGATGAGAATATTTATGACTTACTTTCAAATGTAAATGCCTGATAACAGCAGCGGTAGTAGCTAGAGAAATGAGCATGAGCATCACTATAGTAACGATAAGTGGAGTGGTATTACTTTTGCTCGAATCGTTAACTATTTCTGTTTCCATATTCACATTGTACAAAGGACGGAATGATGTGCTCTTATATAGATGGTGTTCCGATTCTGCATTATCATTGCCGATTAAGCCACCTTTCTGAAGCCAATTTTTCGTTAGTCTGATTAAGGAGTTGTGACAGTCTCCTGTGCATCATTTGGTTTCAGAATTCAAAACAAGTTAGTCAGACCATGACACATATAACTAAATACTTTTTACAGTAGATGTATAATCTGCAGTTTTAAGATATATTTACTTAATGTTTTTTTATACTTGGGTGAGATGTGCTGACGTGGAATCATGCTTTGGTTGGTGAAATAATTTTATTATGATAACAAATATCAAAATAAAGTATTGTGAATATCGACATACTGATAGCAGTTCAGTGATAACGCTGGCATTAATGTCATCAAGTTGTATTCCATTATCTGCTGTCGGGGTGGATAAGGAGACAGGATCTTCACTATCATTATACTTCTTGAATACACCTTTAGCTATATTCGTAATAATCTGTCCTTTTAAACTGTAAGGACGTTCGCAAGTTGTTTGGTTAAGATGTAATAAATTGAATTCGCGATCTAGCAAAATTGCTTCTTTGTATTTCAATTCAATCTCCTCCACAACTGTAATTAAAGAAATTTCATTATTATTTCCCTTTAACTAATGTAGATAATGATCGGAATTAATTTTTCCACACCTTTTTTTCAAAACTGTTCGAATTATTGGTGCAATAGAGAATTTTCGAAATGCTCCATATGGAAAAGAAAAATTGTTATTTAAAAACTTAAATACACAGCTTTCCTTCTTCCATATTATCGTCACATAACCAGTGGTTGTTTGATAGATCTAATTCTTTCAAGTTTTTTATTTTTTCTAGTCCTCTTCTCGGCAGTGTTGTTAATTGGTTGCCTTGCAAAAGTAATCGTTCTAGTCCTTCAACTTGTGATTCGAAATCATTGTCACCGATGTTTTGCAGCTGTCCATTGCTCAAATCCAATTCCTTTAAATTATATCACATGTCACTTGTATGATACACTATATATA